ATTATTATCCCACCCCACTGCGACGAAAATTTTTCTCAAGCTGACAAGCACTTTCCACTTTGAATTAATTTTGCGCGCTCCCCTCTGTACTTTCTCTGATCCGATGCGAGTCGGAATAATAATTCAACAAACTGTTTCTTTGGTCCCGTTCAATTCTCCCAATCGCGAGTGTGCTGTAAATGCTACTGTTGCACTTCTCTTCTAAGTTAATGTACGTACGACATGTGCATGTTCAATTGAAGCAATGCTAATAGAGAGCGAGCAACTCGTCGACGATGGCATGGAGTGATTACTCGCATTCAAAGGGGAACCCAAGGCTAAGTTTCTTTGCGTCTTCAAGTTTGAATTTCTATAGAATTTGAAAATAAAATACTGAAGTAGAAAGTAAAATTCTTCATTATACTTTGAAATAAATTTATAAATAATAAAATGAATTTAAAAAAGTCAAAATGCAGAAATGTTTATTTAAAATTTACATATTTCCTCTTTGTATTTTTAAATCTCATTGTCATTGAAATGTATACATTTTTAATAATATTTTTATATTCTCTATAAATACAATCCTAGTTTGTTGTACATAATTATTAGAACAATTTGATAAACGTTATTCGTGGAGTGCGATTTGGATCGCGGTCTTCCCTTCCATAACTGGGTGCTCGGATGCTCTTGTACTGCATATTGACACAAAACACACAACTTGCTCTCGTGCAAACGTGTGTATTGCTCTGCACGAAGCCTCCGTGCATGACTGTGAATACCAATAGGTCGAAAGCATGATTCATGCCGGCACTCGAGAATTGCTCAAATTAATATCTCTGCCTCGCTCTCTCGCGCCGACTGTCAATCATCGCCCGTCCCCAAATGGAATAATAATTGGTTTAATTGCGACGCATTGCTCAATTATCCGCGAGTCTTTCTACTCTTAATTGAGCGTTTTGAAGGATCTTTTAATCATCATCATTATTTATTCCGTAGCAGCGCCATAAATAATTACAGCGAACACGCACGAATTGTGCAAGAATAACAAAGTTGGTTGATAATTGAAAGGTCTGTCAGATTTATGGTTAGTTTTATCTTGAAGTATGTATGCAGCATAATCTCGGAAAAAATATAGCCTTTCATTCATTGATTTTGAATAGCTCGATCTGCCTAGATAGGTAATTTATTTTAATTGTTGGTGATTAGAATTTAAATTCGGCTTTTCCTCGATGGGTTTTTGTGAGTTTTATTGTCCATAATTCATGAGCTGTGAAATCATTTAGACAAGAAATGTTACAAAAATCAATAAAATGTTTTTTCTTTTGAATTAACAATTAAATTATTCAAAGTTACATTACAATTGTGTCATTTTTCATGAAAAGATATTTAATCTTTAGATAAATCGTTGTTCTTAGTCAATTTTAAGATTATGAATCCCTGCGTAGTTCTTCTCATTTCAGAGGAAGTGTGTTTTTCCTTACAATTTATCAGCACAAAAGCCAAAATAATGAAATCGGCACCTGGCGTTGCGAGATTATTAAATTTCTGCTGCATTCCCGCTCATTTCCGACCAACAAGCTCGTTTGCATGCGAAATCCGCCACGTACATTTGCATGCAAATAGTCAAAGTGGAGACGCAAGTTGTCGGACGGACGCACCTGTACCACTCCGGGAGGGAAACAGCATGTATGCAACCGGCTGGCAACATGTGCCACGCTCGTTGCATAATCAGCGCTTTCCTCTCGGCGCCTCGCTTCGAGAAAAGCAGTTAAGTGCTTCACTTTGCGAAAAACAAGCAAATTTATTCCATCGGCAGGAAGGAATTGCATTCGGATTAGCGTACAATTAGCAAAGGTGGCAAAGGATCACCGGAGGCGGCGTGAGTGACGAGTGTGTACTTACACCTCGCTAATCGGGTTAAACAAGCGTGCGAGCCTTGGGCGCATTCATAATTCAAGACGCGCTCGTCTTTGTGCCTTTTCTCTCGTAATGCGCCGGGAAAGCATTATTTGCATTAGCCTGCCTGCGCCTCTGAGAGGCTTTTATGCCGCGGCGGCATCCGACTCAGGGCCGAGCGCAAACCACCACAACGCACCCTTTGTTGCCGTCGATACGCGCCTTTGAACTTCAAAATTCTTACTGCAAGAAACAAAAAACTTTACTTAAGGTGTGGGAGTTTTTAACATTGACCATGATGAGTCATTGAAACTGAAAACCAACCTAATTAAGTATTTTGCTTGGCATAAATTATAGGAATAATTTCTGATTAAATATAATAAAAACAAGTCGTTTTTTTGTGACAATTTGATTATTTTGACTCATTAATTAAAATCTAGTTAATTTTTTTTAAATTCCAAACTCATTTTTTAAGTCTGTCCGATTGAAATGGGATGGAAAATTTCCAAACCGTTTCAACTCGTAAGTGATTTTGTTATTTGATAATTTTGTTTCAATGAACTCCGTTTAAAAATATATATGTGACATTTTTTTACCGATTCAGCAAAATACTAGGCGACGCCAAACGTGACTTCGGCCAGCGCTGCGGATTTGTTCTTCAATGTAAAGAAATTCAGCGCCTGTCAGGTGCCAGAAATGGGAATTTTTCTATTATTTGTTATGAGATAGAAACGGAGTTTACAATTAAAATTGTTTGATAGGTTTCCCCGAATTTCAAATCATATTAATAAATAAAAATAATTGTTGTTCAAACCTTAAAAATACATTGATTGCAACAAATTCCAGATCAATAGGAACGCAATTTAATTGGAGCGAAGAATTATTTAACAATTAATTTTTCTTGTGCCGTCAAAATTAACGTTATTGCCTTTTAATATAACATTTGTGTGCTGCAACCAAGTTACATAAATTTCCTCATATTAATTGATTTTAATTATTATCTTTGAACCCTATCAATTTTTATTTTAGCACTTTTAAAATTTAACAAAATATTAGAGATTTTTTTATTATATTATTTATAAATATAATTTTATTTTCTGACTTTTAGTTCATTTTTTTGTATTTTTTTTTTTTAAATTCATTAAACCCTTCTTTCATTATATTTTATTGTGTCATAGTTACAAAATAATTATTAAACGATTTTAAAGCAATCAAAATTTGTTCAGTTGTATTTGTATTGAAGGACTTTATTTATTTTGAAGACTGCAATAATAATCTGTAATGTTGAAATTCATTTTAGCATCTAATTTTGTTTTCTCCCTAAAATCCCCTTTCCGTTGAATAGATTTTTGTTGTTGCTTTACAGCAATTTCGTGCAGGGAACAGGGACCAACCCTACAAATCCGCTGCATCAATCGCTCCATCGATTTCCAGTTTCAATTTTGATTTCTGCTTACGACTCGCAACAAAAATGTCCCAGCGCCATCAGACCTAATGCTCTTTGGCACCAGCGGCAGACAAACGCGACTCGCTTGCCAATGCGGATTTGCGAGGGCAACACTCGACCCGCACATAAAATCTGACGAGCCGATGTCAAAATGCGACAGCCAGAGAGATTCCCCAAACACGCCGGATATGATATCATTTGGTCCATTGTTTCCCTCGCTCGGCGGCGGCAAAAAGCGCTGGGGTGGATGCATTTGTTTGATTGAATTCTTTTATTTTCTTCTTGGGTTGTCCGATTTGTTTTGACCCCGACGAGAGAAAGAGATAATGTCAGACTGAAGGGATGTATCCAGGGCGCGCCGGAAAGTTAGAGAAAGAGAGTGTGGTGGTGTGTCATTGTTGTGCAGCAAAAAGGGGATCTATACAGTCTGCAGACTTTGTTCTTTGAAGACGGCCGAACTTTTTGCACATATCGCTCATATTTCATCGCCTTTCATGCCCGTTGTCTCTCTTTCGAAATAATTCCTTTCTTCCGCTGTTGCACTTCGTCGTTTTGAGCGCCCCGCTGAAAGGAAAGGGGAAAGAATTGACTGCAGGGTTGACAAGTTGGTTGATCGAAGCAAAGACTTAAAATTTAATTTCTTTAAATATGATATCAATTATAAAATTAAAAAAAGTATTTACACATAAAAAAAACTTTGGTACAACCTTATTTATTATTCTTGTATTATTTTTTTTCTCAATTTATAAGACATTATTTATGTTACCACTGATGTATTAAATTTTATTATTTATTTTAGATTCAGTAGGCTTAGCTCTCCCGGTATAAAAGGTATCCCAGCATAAATCCAAAGGGATGAATATTTTTTTATCCCGCCTCCAATTTTTTGTTTCCAATTCATTCGTCATTAACTTTTACATTTAACCCGCGCAATAATTATATCAGCTGGTTTTTAAAAGGTCGAAAACATGCTCGCAAACTTTTTTAAATTTTTGACAAATAAAAAACTTCCTTGGATCAGTATTTTGTGAGGATCATGAATTGAGCTTACAAAAAAACTGACAAATTTAATTTGAAATTTTTGTCATTTTACTTATAAAAATTTAAAACCCTTTCATCGATGCGAAATTAGTTATAAATTTATGCATTGACATTTAATGAGTGTAAAATCATTCAACTCCAAAATGATCTCTACTTAAATTTTTTTAATTAGTGGTCAAATTTAGTTCGCTCCATTTCAAATATATAAATTCTTACAAAATTTAAAAAAAAAATCCACAATAAATTCAGTTAATCGAATTGAATATATCACGAGGGTGTGGAAAAAGAAATTTAGATAGGTGCTGTGTACTTACTCATCTTGTTAAATTTCTCTTCACGAAAGATGAGATTGAAATTTTTTAAGCAACAAGACGAGTATTTCCTTTTGCGTACCTTTGAGATAATATTGCTAATTCAATTTGAAAAAAAGAAATCCGTCAATTTTTCAACTATTAACAATTTAAATTTGGTTTGTTCAAAACAAAAATAAAAATAAAAAATTTGTGAAATATCGAATTCAAGCTGCAATCAAAGTCTGGTTTTTTTTCATTGGAAACCTATGCATGTGTTCGTCCAGCAAGTGCAAAAGAGTGACATAAATTTATATTATATAAAATTAAAAAATTAAACCACTGACCTTATTGAAGGTCTTGAGCAGGGCAACTCCATGATGTCCAGCTTGGCTGATTGATGATGGGGTTTGCTTTCCTGGTTAGGGGGCTGTCTTTGATTTCTGCAGTCTTGAATTGGTCCCTCAGCATTCCTTCCTAGGAATTTAAATGGCATGAAATTATTAAACAGTATTGCCTCGCTATCAAAACAAGTGTTTTATGTCAATAAGAATAGTAAAATACTGTAGAGTAATTAGTTTCCTGTGTATAAAAAAATCTTCGTATGATAAAAGTTACAATTCTGGCCCCGTCACAATTTTGTCCCCTTTGGCATAAGAATAACATTGAATAGAAGAGGGGCCAAATCAAAATTTGCAGGGGCCAGAAGTGCACTTTTACCTTATTAAAATTGTATGTGCATACCTTCTGTAAAATTCTGGTCGATTTTGGGAACGTTTGAAGCCCGAAACCCCGTCTTCAGCCCTGGCCTGAGGACTTCCAATGGTCTTGAAGGACGATATCAGCGCGTAAACACTATTCTTCGAGGAAAAAAGTCTTTTGTTTACAGAGAGAAAGCACGAACGAAACACACATAATGGGCCCGATTTTGACACTGCTCATCTGCTGCTTGGAACTGGACACTGGACAGCTGGAGGCGGGAAACGGGCTGGAAAAACTTTTCAATGTTGTACCAACAAAACAAATTTTTGACTGAAATTAATACCGCAAACGTGTGTTGGAATAATTTTGATTTCCAATGTCTTGAATTGCAGAAAATTGTATTGAAATTTCTAAAAACAATCAATTTTGTATTGTGTTAGTGACAACATTATAAATTTTACGAAGTGTTTTGTTTTTGTTAAGTTGCAATCGAAGAATGTGTGGTGCTATATGTAGTAGAATTGGCGAGTTGAGCACCAATTTTAGCCACGATTTCTCGCCTTTCATTCAGATTAATCAAAATCTAATTTTTTTTTTAATATGGATGAAAGTTAAAAAAATTATGAACCATTTTAATAGAATTCATTTAATATTTTTTTCCTTTGCCTACTAAATGAAAATGAATCGAAATCAGTATATAAAATTATTTTATCACATTATTCAATATACATAAGGTTCAAGTCAGTTCAAGTAATGATTTGCCTTCGTTTTTTTTTTATTCTTTAAATGTAAAAAAAATTAAATTATGAAATATTTAATAAAATTATTTATTTTTTTTTAATTTGCCATTTATTATTTTCATCCTTCTTATTCATAAATTTTGCAATTTTCGTTAAGTTCACTTTCAACGTCGCACTGCTTTTGCTCAGCGCTCGCCGCTCGGCAATTCGATATTGAAAGGAGTTTGTGTCGCTTTAATAATTCGAAAATATTGAATCTTTTTCAAGGTGTAAGATTTGATGGTTTAAACAGGTTTAAATTTCATTTCTTGTCAATTACACATCATTAAATATAATATTTAACTGCGGTCAACCAAAATGGTCGACCAAAAGATAATAATTGTGTTTCTGACCAAGTTTCTTGTCGCGTCCCTCGCTTTGTTCCCAATTTCCCTTCGAGTAGCGGGGGCGCCGCTCCACCCTTCTGGACGTTGCAGCAACCCCTTTATTGCATAACGCGGCAATAAAGGTGGAATTTCATAACCGGTGCGGCGCCGCTTTAATGGCACTTTGGTGTATTACGCAGATTGCAACTCTCGGTGGCTGGCTATTTAATCCTGCCCATCCTAATAATAGATCCTGGCGATTATCTGCATGTGTGTGGCGAAACTTGCTATGTCCTGCTCTAAATTCAAGAAGTGCTTGACGATGTCAAAATATAAATAATATAATGTAACAATGTATCATTATGTGAACGCTATTTTTAAATGTACAAAATTTTCAAATAGACTCCAATTAATTTTATATTTATTTTATTGATTAATTTAAAAATTGGCTGCATAATAATAAGTGATAATCGTCAACGAAAAAAGGAACGGCCCGGCAGTGAGTAAGAGACCTTGAGTGGGCTAAGCTGAGTCTGAGTTATTCAAAGAAGAGATAATGGCTCGCAAAAGTCTTATACCTCCTTTTATAAGACTTTCTGCAGCTCGCCTTTGCTATGTATTCATCAAATTTTATTAACTTAATATAAAAACATTTTTTTTTTTTATAAGCATGACACTGACACCGCACGCACACAGCAGCTGCTCTTGTGAAGAAATCTGCTGAAAGCAAAAAATTCTGAAATGCAGTCACAGTCACATCAAAAGTCGTGGACTAAATGAAGGTATTATTGGTAATTTAATAATAATTATTTAGATAAGCCATATCAACTAAGTTATTAGCTCAAGTGCACATAAAAGCAGATATTTATAAAATCCAATATAATAAATAATATTGTTCGTTAAAAAATTATTAATTAAAATTTTCATTTCATAAATAGTTTTTAATAACAATAAAAAATGTTAAAAAAATTATATAATATTTATAAGCGTAAAAACGTTGATTAGCAAAGGATGATAAAATTCAGTAAATTTTATGGCTAATGTTTTTGACTAAATTATTATCATAATTAAGACCATTAACACCCTGAAACTGTCTTGAAAGGAAAAACGCGTAATTAAGACAATCGGATCAATCGCACAGATTTTATGAGAGAAAATAAATAGTATGGTGTTAAAAAACATCAAAAGTTAATTAAAAGAACTGTTTAAATTAAAATTTGAAAACTATTTTAATTCAATTTTCTTATCAGGCATATGCACGCGACTCCGACTTTAAAAAGTCTAACCTTGCACTTGAATTGATAGCAGAATTTCATCGGGACGTTTCAATACAGGTCTAAATAATTTTACTCTACTTTTTTTTGCTAATTGTAAGGCACAAATAAAATTGCTACCTAAGAAAAGTTATATTAATTATAATTTGAATTGTGGAGTTACGGATCATATAGAATCTTCTCACCAATAAAAAAATTATTGTAGACTTTAGGATATCATTTTTTAGAATTTATTTTTGTGTTGTCTTCTATATTGCTTGTCTTCCATATATTGACGCGCTTTTGACTGACGTGCCATAAGGTTAACATGGGAGTGTGTTAGTCAAAAGCGTGTGCTGCAAGCGATTAGCACCGAGGACATCAAGTGCGGCTCTGATGCTGTGATCACTAAACTAAATTCAAGCACAATTCCTCCGACCCAAGATGAACAACAAGAGGTGCAATATCCTCAGCCAAGGGAAGGACAAGCAAGAAGCATCCAGCGACCAGAATAATTAAGATTCGGACCAGCAAAAGTATTTATATTTTATAATGTTTTGTAATTTTACGTATAAAAATAAAGGTCTACAATCTGTTTCGTTTTTTTATGTTTTCAATAAAAACAGTAATTATTTATTTTTCAATTATTTCCACTGATTTATCTCTTCAACAAGTGAAAAAATGAAATAAAGTATAATAATACACCTTTTTAACTAAATTTGTATCAGGAGAGTGATAAAAAAAAAACATACTAACTAATTAATTGAAACTTTTTATTTGTTATTTTAATACGTCATGAAGGACATATTAAGAAATTTAAGTAAAATAATATGCAATGCTTAATTATCATATTATGGTGCTTTAATCTAATTCAATTATTTTTAATATTATATTGTTATTTATTGTCTTATTTGTTTTACTTGTTGTAAGCTTACATCATTATACTGATAATCTCCTAAAAGAACACTCGCAATTGTGCCAAAGCTTCACCGCCGCACACTGGACACTTTTCCACACTACACTGCTCACACAAACAAAGGTGCCCGCATGGCAAAACCGCAGTATTCACGACCTGCGTCCGGCAGGTCCCACATTTCACCGTCCCAACACCACCGACCTGAACTTGTGCCGCTGCTTCTTCCGAATGTAAATTTTTATTTTCAATAAAATCAACTCGACTGACGGTTTGTAGATAACAACAAGCGCCTTCCCATTTTACGTGTTGTTCGTACGGATTTTCCTCGGAAACCCAGTTGCTCAGACCCAGGCCGCAATGGAAACAACAGACCCTGTCGCCGACTCCGACGTAAAAAAATCCTGCCATAGCCATTTGCTTTGGTTTTTGCGACAAAGATTTCGGCCAGAGTTTGAAAGTGGCCAATCTGGCGGCGAGGCAATTGTTCTCAGGGTATTTTGGCTCTTTCCATTCCTTTATCGATAAAGATGATAACGGAAGATTTTGTTTTTTCACTCGAAGCCACGGACCGAGTCTCGCGAGCACTTTGCTTATTGGCTCAAAATGGTCCGAAATCGAGTTGTTGCCGTGACCGAGCTCCTCACTGCCTATCTTTACATTTGCCACGGACAAAGGGTCTTTGAGAAAACGACATTCAGAGTCGAATCGACTGTGCTCGCCGTCAGGGGTGTCCCCTTCGCACCAATCGGACACTTCCAGACAGCAGAAAATGCAGCGGACCCTGTCCTCGAGGCCCAAGTAATAAAATCCACTTTTGGCCAAATCGTAAGGTGTGACAAATTGCCAATTGGAGTTTTGCAGAAGGGAAAATAGCCGGTGCGTTTCGTACTTGTAATTGAGACGAGTCAAATCCATCGGGACGTTTTGCGAGGTTCCGGTGAAAATTGGGCAAGGAAGAATGACGGCGGCCGAGTGCTGTTGACGCCAGTCGTTGCATTCGGACTTGAGTATTTTAAAGTTGCAAAAGTAGCAACATAGATGCGCACCGTCTTCGGCCAGGTACAAGCCATCCGAGGCCATTTGTTCGACGCTAAAATTCTGGCGAAAGCTCTCAGGGTAGGTGAAGTAACGGTGCATTGCGAATTTTAAGCAAAGAGTCATTTTCGCAGGTAAAAAGGGCCGATCTTTTTGCGGTTGTTGCATTATTATCCAAAAAAGCACATATCTGTAATGAAGTGAAGCTAATATTTAAAAATATTCACATTCAATTTTCCTAAATTTTTAGTAAAAATTATACACAGCAATTCCAAAAATTATTTCTTGCAATAAGTGAAATTTCAAGGTTAGTTCCTTTTTAGTCTGAGATTAAAAATTAAAACTGCTATAAAAATTTTTTTCAACACCACATGTCAAATATTTTAATGAAGTAGCTGCCCCAGCCCAATGCGAAGAACCAAAGAATAAACAATAAAACACTACTACTTACTTTTTCAACAAAAAGATTTAAAAATTAAGATATATCTTTTAAATCTTTTTATTTTCCTATTATTTATACTATCTTTCATCCACGTCCAGGGTTAGTCACAGTTGGTACAATAATTAGTTTTTAAATATTCCAAAATTGATTTCTTCTATTTTCCTTAGCTTATAAGCAAAATACATGCACATTTTTTTACTACAAATTAAAGAAGTGCGAGTTAAGATAAAAGAAACGTAATTTTAAATAACAAATAAAACCATACTTATATCGCCTGTACTGAAATTCTTTTGCAATGAACATTATGAAAAAGTCTAACACTAAGAGCAAGGTCGACAACAATCTCATGCAAGAGTGAGCTGACTAACTTCTTGGACTTTTATTCAATTAAGAATTATTTCTATTCCCCACCAACTTCTATAACTAATTTGACTATGATAAATTTTCACGCAATTCTCTTCCCCATTTGAAATTACAAAGTCAATCGTCAAGTAAAATTTCCGAAATTTCCCCACCATATAAGAATTTGTGATAAGTGACAAAAGAAGATAAAAACTATATATATGTCAAACAGCAAGGCTTACTGCAGAGGATGCAGGGATCTTAATTATCACGACAAGACATCTACATCATCTTTGCTCTTGGTGCGCTGTTTTGTCCTAACAAATATTTAATAATTATGTTATAATATGAATTTATAATATTTTTAACAAAACACTGAGCAAATAAATAGTAATAATCGCAATTAATATGTGGATAAAATCAATTTCCAAAAATTTTAATGCATTAAAAAAATGCGATCTTAATATTTATTGATGATCAAAGTAGAAAATTAACATGAAATTTTATAAATAAATTTTAAGGGCTCGAATTGGCAAGAAAGTGTAAATTTATTTGAGGTGAAATAAGTAAAATTGATAAAAAAAAAATTTAATTCAAAATTTTTGCCAAATACATTAAAGCAGTAAGCAACAAAGAACTTCAAGTGCACCATAAACATGTACTCACCGACTTGTTCTTGCGGTATTAATAATTGCGATTATACTTGATAGAAGCTGGGCGCGCGTTGCAGCTGGCGCTCACGCAAGCAAGCACCGCGGGGGTTGGTAATAAACCGGCCCACCGACGGACTTATTAATACATAAAATATAAAATACAGAGGCAGGGAAAATCCGCCCCCGCATACGCGCCACTATCAATATTGCGGCCTGACTGAAATTCAGCCGCGGGCCGTACGCGTGCAAACTGTGTACCTTGGCGCTCACTCGAACAATGCGATGACGAACCCCCGTCGTGTTAACCAACCAACACGCCAACTCACCCCTCGAAACAATAGCGCGTGCATTATTTAAATGGCAAGCAAGCAATATATGCGATTGCCGAAACGCAGCGAGAGCCTTGAGGTACCCCTAATTGTTTCGCGTGCGGTTGCGGTTTGTTGCAAGGGGCATTTTAATTTAAAATATTCAAAGCGAAAGAGCTGCAGAAATTGTTAATCGACAGATTGATATCAGCATCTGTTAACGAGAGCCTCATTAATAATCGCTGCTTATTGTGTCTCTTATCAAACTGTCATCTTTTGATTTCAGTTTTACACCAAACATGCAATACAAGATTTTGTATTTCCTTGTATAGCGCCAATGAATTTTTACTCTCTCGTAATCTCAATTGTTATTTTAAATAATTAACATAACAAAAGATAGCGCAGGAGAAATTTTATTATAGATTATTCCAGAATTTAAATATCATATTTTTTTTTTTTTAATATTTCTCTTCGATTTATTTTCTTGCCGAAATTCATAAATGAAAATAATTCAAATTAATTTCAAACCCCCTTTTTCAACTGAAAAGAATTTTTTAATTATGGACCTGACACTCATGAAGTTTAATTTTTCCGCTTCTTTTGTCTCCAGTTGCAATCTGCATGCACGCAGCCCTTTATTTGTTCTGACTGCGCAGGGGTGCATATACGCATAGAGACTCATTACTGTGCGGTAGCTGCTGCTGAGTGATTGCATAATTTAAATTCATGACAACGCCTTGCTGCTTAAATTAAAAAAGCACTCGCAACTTTGTTTAACACAATTTCAATGCAAAACTTGTAATGATTGTAGACCGAAATTAAAAAAAAAATGTGAATTCAACTAAAATCAACTTTTATCCAGACTTTATGCTCTCCACTGAAAATAAAATCTAGTTGATTATGGCAGCTGGGGTTGTTTAAATATTGGAATGAATTTTGCTTAATGGAATTTTTAAATTGTTTCAACAAGGAAAATTATCAGTAAACACTAACTAAGTGAAAAATATTAACTCTTTTATTATCTACTGGGGAATTTAAATACAACCAGATAAGATTTTTAGCTTTTAAGCTTATGAATCATCTCTTTATCAGTATTCATTGACTAAGACTTTTGTTCTCTTGAATAAAGGGAATGTGCAAAAATGAAAACAAAATTGCACAATTTTAATTTCCAGTTGAGAAGTGAGCGCGCATACGCAATTATGCAGCAATCTAATTGTGCAAAAGGGCATTAAATATTTCAACCTTCAAACTATAAATAATGCACTTTCCTATGTCTTAAAAATAAGTAAAAAAGGAATTTTATTTAATTTTAACTCCAGAAGATTTGTTTCATTTTGTATATTGAAATAGACATATTCGAATTAATTTCAGCATTTTAAGTATTTGATGTGTGAGACAAGTTGGAACAATTAATATCCTTGGAACCACATTGATTGTAAAAAAAACTGTCACGTACTTAAAATTAATTTTCAAGTTTCTTCACATTTCAAATTATATAATTATGCTTTAATTTTTTTGACATGGCATACAGCAACTTTCATTCTTTAATTAAGAGCACAACAATTAAGTATTGATTTTTTTACATTTTGGCAAAATATTTATTTTTAGTTTATATTTTAATCCTATTTCGTACGGAATGAAAAGATTTCTTATTTCAATAATGTTGTAAGAAGTATTTAAAATTATTCTTTACTCGCTGATCAGATCAACCTCCACAGAGAAACGCTGTCTCGGAACGGTGTACAATAATTAAGTATTGAATTTTTGGACATTTTTTGTCTAAATATTTAATTATTTAAAAAAAAAAATCCTATTTTCCTGTATTGCATGGAAGATTACTAAACGTAGTCAAATTTTGCTTCAATAAACCACTTTACTCAGTGATCAGATCAACCTCGCAAAGAAGCGCAGGCTCGGACCCGCGGTGTGTGTCTTTGTGACGGTCGAGAGCCTGCTTTGTAGCCAGGCATCGGTAGCAAACGTCACACTGGAACTTAGTGATTCGGTGGAAGGGAAAGCTCACCTCGGCCAGCCCTTCTTTGCTGTGCTCCTCCTCGCAATGCTTCTTGGCATCGTCGGCTGATAAGAAGTGCGAGTCGCACAGAGAGCATTCGTAGTTGTGATTGTTCTCCATGTGGGCATTTCTGTTGTACTTGTAGTCGAACTTGGCGCCACAGATTGGACAGTCAAATGTCTTCTTCTTCAGGTGCTTGTTCTTCACGTGCAGAGTAAATCGACCTCGGCTCTTGAAGTGACTCAAGCAGATGTCGCAGGTGTAGCCAGGGCCGTGGACATGGGTGGTGTGGATGCGACGGCTGACGGCCAGTTTGAACGCTTTAGGACACAAGTGACACACAAACGGACGGTCGTCACCATGGCGCATTATCATGTGATGTTTCAAGAGGCTTTTCAGAAAGTAAGATTTTCCGCACAATTCGCAAGTCGAAGCGTTCGCAGCGTTGTGAGATTTGCGGTGGATTCGGAAGCCGTAGGCCGTTTTGCAGCTTTTGTCGCAAATGCCGCAGATGCGCTGACGGAATTCGATGTGAACATTGTTCATGTGTCTGGAGGCAGCTGAGGCACTTCTGAATGTTTGAGGACAATTATATTCACACTTGACCGCAGCTGGCTCTTGCCTGGAGAAAAAAATAAGAATGATGTTTTAATAAAAATTTTATTTTTCTTATAATTTCATTCGTTGAACTGCATTTTTAACTGAATTCTTTACCAATGAAATAAAAAGTTCAATAATATACTTACAGCACAAATAATGGCTTTGCAGGTGCAGGCTGTGGTTGAATGTATTGAGCCCTAGTTGAGACTCTGAGTCTCTGCTTGAACGTTGGCACGGTGGACAGGTCAACGTCGACAAAGCCAGAATCAACTGACAAAGTGCTCCGGTTGTTCTTGCTGGCCGTTTTACGGGCAGAATTGTCAAAACCCAAGCTTTTGTTGGGGATGAAAGTGTCTGAAATACAAATATTTTGTTTAAAAATCTATTTATAAATAAAGCTCGGCGGGCTGACTTTTTTTTTAAATTCACATCGATCGAGAGATAAAATTTCATAATTTTTTAAATAAATTTATTATTTTTACCTGCTGTGAAACTCTTAATTTCTGCTATGTCATCAGAGCTGTCAACGTTGCTGAGGTCCAAAAAAGCAGATCTTTTCTTTCTCGGAAAATACTGCCGCAGGAAAGAGAAAAAAGATAAAAAATCATACGGAGGAGGTGCTGTTCTTCTCGTCTCAACAAATGCTAATTTTAGCTACAAGAAGATTCCAACTTCTTCTATCGAAAATGAATTTGAGACGGCAGGGTGTGAAATTAAAATTAAAAAAACAACGTTGACGGTGTTTACTGTCTACCGACCACCCAATCACGGCACTATGGAGTCTTTCTTCGACAACCTGGAGAGTCTAGTGGAGCAAAATCTGGCACCAGAGAAGGAGATGATTGTTCTGGGGGATCTAAATATTAACCTGCTCCAGGACTCCGCCGAAAGCCGGAAACTAAATAGCATAATGAAAGGCTACGAGATGCACCTCATCAATAAAAATGCCCCAACACGAGAGACTGCTCACAGCAGCACACTCATTGACCACGCATTCACCTCCCTCCAGTGTGATGCTAGATTTGAAGTCAAAGAAGTCAATTTCTCCGACCACAACGCAGTGCACATCGAGTTTGAGGTTCGAGTAGAAGAAATGAAGGACTGGTTCGTCTTCTCAAGAAGCTATAATGATGAAAATTGGCTAAATTTCAAGGAAAAATTAAGTTACGAGCGCTGGCAGGACATCTTCGCCGCTACTTCAGCTGACACAAAGAGCCATTTGTTCATGGAAAAACTGAAAAAATATTTTGATGCGAGCTTCCCTTTGAGAAAAAATATCCGCAAAGCAAACCAAGCCGGGAAAATTCATCTCTCTGACTTTACAATAAACAACAAAATCAGGCTGCGAGAAATGAGTGAACAGCTACAAGAACTACGAAAGAAAGCAAGAGCAAATACAATCACCAATCAATCAGAAGCAGACAAGATCAAGGACCTGGAGCAGCAGGTGGCGAGCCTCAAAAGCTACGTCGGCTTCCTAATTAACGATGAGATCAGGAAAAACAATGAAGCAAAGCTCAGGAGTTCAAATAACAAAGTCTCAGCGGCTTGGAAAATCATCAAGGAGAACGTTGGCAATGAAATTACATCCACCACTATTTCAGAAATCTGCATAGACGGGCAAGAAGAAAAAGATTTGCAGAAAATTGCTGACTTCCTGAACACTAAATTTATCGAGCCACTTCCCGAAATGAGTGAACAAGAAATACAACTCGCCATTGAAGACGTCCCACTAGTGGAGACGATATTTTCACTTAATCAATTGACAACACCAGACGAGATTCGGAGAGTCATTGGCGCCTTTCCTGCAAAAAAATCAGCTGGCTGGGACGGAATATCCATGAGCGTCATCAAACAAATTTCCGCTTACATTGCCACGCCACTTTCGGATTTAATAAACTGTTCCTTCGTGGAGGGGAAATTTCCTGAAAATTTAAAACTGGCGACCATTGTACCTATCTACAAGAAGAAGGGCGAGGAAAACGACGCAGCAAACTACAGACCAATCGCTCTCACGTCAACGGTTGCAAAAATATTTGAGAAATGCTACCTAAATAGAATTGACGCCTACTTTTCAGACAATCAACTAATTCAAGGCTTCCAGCACGGCTTCAGAAAAGGCAAAAGCACGGTAACAGCACTCTATGACCTAGTCACGGACTTGCACTCGTCTATCGAGAAACGAGAGAAAGTGAACATGATCCTATACGATTTCTCAAATGCGTTTGGCTGCGTTGTGCCCGAAATCCTGATCGGAAAACTGAGATGCTATGGACTCGATGAAAAATCACTCTCTTGGATGAAATCATTCCTCACGGGTCGGAAACAAGTGGTTCAACTTAGGCACCTTGACGAAAACCAGACCATAACGAACGTAACATCTGCAACGTTGGACTCCTCCATTGGAGTACCGCAAGGAACGTCGCTAGGACCATTTAGTTACACGGCCTATGAAAACGACTTTTCGTTGGAAAGCGTAGCTGCCACCCTCTATGTCTTTGCCGACGATTTGACGAGCCTCGCAAGGGGTAATACATACACCGAAGCTAACGAGAAAACCTCGCAAGTAAACAAAAGTGTGGAGACCTTCGCCGAAAACAACCGTCTGAGACTAAATGCCTCAAAGACGAAGGTCATGCAAATTCACACCGCTCAGACAAAGAAGTTGGAAAAACCTTCTGTTCAACTTAACAACACGGAAGTCGAAGTGGCGAATGAGAGCAAGGTTCTGGGTGTAATATTCACTGACACAATGAACTGGCGTGCACAGTGCGAATATGCGAGTGGGAAACTAAGAAGTGCAACATACTTGTTTGTGAAAATGGGCAAGAGAGTGCCTAAGAGTAGTCTCAGACAGGTATACTTTGCATACGTGCAAAGCCATATCTTGTACTCGATTATTATCTACGGTGCCTCCCCATACTTTAATCTTGTCGCTATCGCGCAAAAACGGGTGCTGCGGGCTATGGCTGGCAAACGGTACTGGAAAGGACCCGATCCACTTGAGTCATGCAGACAACTATTCAAAGACTTTGACATCCTCCCAGCGTTTTCCTTGTACATATTGGAGTGCGCGAAGTTTGTAAAGAAATACCCTGATAAATTTGCCAGAAACAATGAGGCAGAGGAAGTTCACGTCTACAATACGAGAAACAAGCCAGTGAACGATGAAGACCTTCACATACCCCCAGTGACACTAAACTTGACAGCGCAAAATCCGGCGGTCATGATCGCTCGAATTTACAACCACTTGCCGGCCGAGTTAAAACAAATTGAAGATCTAAAGACATTCACCCTGAAACTGAAACAAGTGCTAAGTGAACACAACTTCTATGACATACACGAATACTTACTGTGCAGTTTTGACAAGTGAAATTTCTCGCGCTAATCTTATAGTTTTTTCCCTTTGCCCTAAGCAACGGGTTTTTTTCTCTAAATTTTAATTTTAGACCTGACATGTTCTAAAGACTACTGTTAATATTCTTGTCTAACAGAACAACAATAAAATTGAATTGAATTGAATTGAATTGCACGTGACGAGGAACAAGTGGCGATGATGTGTTGAAGCCTCGGCCCACTTGGTCGAGTCCCTCAGGGTCGTCGAAACCAGTGTTCTCCTGGCTTGCCGATTGCGTCTCTTCGTCCTCAGCCCATTTTGGCGTCCCGTGGTCAGCTTCAGCCCAAAGAAGAGCAGCAGAGGCTACATTGACTTTGTTGTCAAACGCCATAACGTGCACACGTTTGCTGCACACGTGTTTTTTTCCAAATGCACGCACGTGTTAGGAAACCCTCCTGTCTGGAAACCGGAATAATTTTTTAATTTTTACATGAAACATCAATTTACAGTCGTGTAAATCTTTTCTGTGGTTGAAATTAAATCTTCCTAAATAAATATACCTGACTTATGTCGACGAAAAAACGTGGGCCGGATTATGGAACTTCTGCTACTGCTGGCGCTGGGCTGGCTGCATGTATGAATCATCGCCCCTGGATTCCTGGAAGTTGAGTGTGGGCAAAGCTCACCACCTTCTCACGTCGCTAGCTGCTGGGTGGTCATTAGCGCAGCGATCCAACCCGCGCGCGGTATTGAAAAAGAAATTAAAATCGAAATCTCTTCAAAGTCTTCAAATGAAGCAAAACTCAGATAATAAAATTATTTGAAATTAATAAAAGTTGAACAGACTTTGTATTTTTGGAATTATTAAAAATGCTCCTTTTGTTATCATCAAGCATAAAAATTTCCCTTTTTTGCCATGATTAAAACTTAACATATTAAAATTAATATTATTTTTCAAATTAAAAATGAACTGTGTTTCCATTTTTCACTTCAGGCTAAATAAGTCTAAATTTTAAAATAATTTGGATATTTTGTGGAGGTTTAAACTCATATAATTTTGTCATAATAAAATATAGAATTAATTTACATAATTGTGGTTATTTTAAAAGCAGGAATACTAAAATAGTGTCTTTCTCATTTATTTGATAAATTTTCATCTCAATATAACATCATTTTCATTTTTAATAGTATGGAAAAATTGAAATTATTGAATGATTGCAATGCTCTCTATTGGTTTCCATAAAAATTTTATAATTCCAGAAACTATTCGCAGATCAAATTTCAAATTTAACTCCCAATTCAATTCTTCTTCCTCCTACAAAAAATAGCCCTAACCACTTTTCTGGTGAGAAACTTCAGTTTCTGAACCTCCTTTCTTTAGTTTTTCATCATTGATTTTATCTTTGTCCTTGCCGTGAATTCGCTGAGTGTGGAAACCCAACGACTGATTTGACGCAAAATGCTGGAGGCAAATCTGACATCTGAACTTGGTGACCTTCTCGAAAGCAGAATTTCCATCCAGACCAAGATCAGAAATTTCTTGTTGGGTGTGACTGCTTTCGGTGTGATCCTTGGCAAGGCTGGCAGTGGTAAATTTTGCACTGCAGACGAGACACACAAAGTTGTGGTTGTTCTTGACATGGGTGTTTCTGTTGTCCCTTCTTTCAAAAGTGGCACTGCAGTGCAGACACTTGTATTTCCTGTTCATAACGTGAGTCTTGATGTGCTCCGTGAATCTCCACCGGCCTCGAATGGATTTGGCACAGAAGTCGCACTTGAAGGGAGTCACATGAACGAACAAATTATGCTTGATGAGATTGGCTTCTGATGCATAGGCCTTGTCGGGGCACTTTGGGCAGACAATGCTCTTTGGCTGGTGGCGCTGCTGGTGAATTTTGAGATATGTTCGCAAAACACTTTCACCACAATAATCGCACACAACGTGCAGGTCAGCTCGGTGCCGACGAAGATGTGTCTTGAAGCGCGAATCACTTGCAGATTTCACACCACATGTCCCACAGATCCTTTGAGAGAATTCTTCATGAGCAGCGACCATGTGAGCTCGTCTCCTGTGTATAGTTTCAAATTTTTCTGGGCAATAGTAGCAAACTTCATCCATCTGTGGCTCACGAGGTGGGCTGGAAAAGAGAAACAAATTTTCATTCCAATTTGGAAAATGGCTTGATACGTTTTTTTCCTTCATTCCAATTTGATCTACAAATTTAAATTAAATGCTTTTTACTGAAATTTTATAACCTTTGACCGAAGAAATTAAACGGTTTAATTTTTTATATATTAAGAAATACTTTGTGAAAAAATTAATATCGTTAAAAATTACCCTTCAGATTCATCTTTGGCCATGCCCATAGGCTCCCATTCATAATCTGGACCATCTCGTGAAAATCTCACATTTCTCATTAAGTGTTCAGGTATTTGAGAAACGTCAGGCTCGCTTTCAATGCTGTAGTTGTCATCATCATCGTCACAGTCCATATCAACTTCAGACTCGGATTTCAAAATATTATCTATGTTGACAACATGGAAATCCTGGTTTGCTTCCACAGGTGAGGAAGTGCCAGCAATTGGCAGATTTCCTAAACAAATCATGAAGTCATTAAAATAATGCAGAAAATTTAAATCTAAATTTCTAACCATTCTCACTGGTTTCTGGAAGAATGTAATTTGCAGTATTTGGCAGCTGAGGCAAACATAGGGAAAAAGTGCTTTCAATGGCCAGTCCTTGTTTGTTGTTATCCGAGGGCAAAGGTTCCACAACAACAGACTTCTTCTGATTTTTCTTGGGAGCTACTTTTTTGCACTCTTTTGACTTCTGAGCTGCTTTTTTGTTAGCAATCCGTGACGTCTTGCTTAGTATCTTGAGCCGATACAGGTCATCATCATTTCGAAGGACTCGACGTTTGCTTCGACCTTCGTACACGATTGTGCCTCCCTTTTCATCCACCCACGAAAGAGACACCTCTCTCACCTTGTCACAGTAAGTGCATTGAATCTGCAGAAGAGATTTGAACATGTTTTTCTTCTCGTCGACGCAGTTTCGCAGCGACAGAGGCTTGTCACAGAATTGGCACCAGAGTTTGACTGCCAGCAAGTTCAAATCAACCAGCCGCACAGCTGGAATGAAGAACTGGGGAATGTTGCCATCGTCCCCCAGATTGTCAATCTTCTTGATTTTATTAGCTTGTTGCCCATTGTCCACTCTTGTCCACTGTTTACGCAGGCAGTTCAAGGAGGCAAGCTTACTTTTCTTGACAAATTTACCACGGTGCCTAGGCATCGTCAAATGTTGGTTTCTCAAATTTTGGTTTCTTAAGTCCTTGTTGTTGGTGGTGGTACTTTCAACGCTACAAGCAATCACATTGCTTTCTGCAGTCTGATCCATGGTCTCTGCAGGATTTTGCACAGGAGCTGTAATTAAAAAAGGGTATTATTATTATGCATATTTTACCCAAAACAGATGAACCATTTTTTAAATAATTAAAAAGTATAAATTATCTAATGTATTTTTGCGGCAAACGTAAAAAAATGTGTATGTAAGCATTAATTTACATTTCGTGTTTTTTCAATAAATATTTCCTGGTGAGACACGGATATAAAAGGACACAAATATTGAAGTATGTAATAAGAATGGATACGAATATATAAGCAATTATTTGTTATAATGTAATGAAATCAGAAACGATACACGTGAACAAGAGAATTACATAAATTGAGAATTGCCGGCTAATATTTTACCTGATAATTCTTCTTTCATAATGTGAGCTTTTGAATTGACGAGCAGCCGACAATAAGATTAACGCAATTTTCTTATCAAATTAATCGTTGCGCTCAAGAATCATTCCATTATCTATGGAAAATTTCACTAAAATTCAATTTTTAGTAGGTTCTGGATGCTCTTGTCCTGTTGTTGTTCTTTGCTTGTGCTATGTTTTGACCGGTTTCAGCAGAGTCGAGCAGATAAGTTTTGGCGAAATGTTTTGTTTTCATTCCCCGCACTGCAGCCAACTGAAATGCGAAGGAGGCAAAGTTGCGGCAAAGCAAGGCGGTGATGTTGTCGCGATTGGTATTTTGCGCTCAAGGTTGTTCAAGGCCGGGGATGGCGCGCATCACAGTCGTGTCTGCTCTCGATCGTCTGCTGTAATAAAACATGCAGGGAATCTTTGGAAATGGACATTCTTATTTTGACGCTGCTCCGTGATCGCTGCTATTTTTGCCGACGCAGCTAAATAAAACGACTCCCGGCCGCCGTCGTTTTCTTGGTATGTATTATTTTTAATTAAAAAACAAACGGGACATAATTTAACTTAATAATTATGTAATTATATCCTTTAGGCAGTCATAAAAACCGATAAAAACATTAAAAACTAACTGTGTATACACATAATAGCTGCGGTAGAATTTTAGATATTTAAATAAAAATATTAATATGTAAGATTACTTTATGAGATTATTATGAAGTTTTTATGGAATTCCAGGTTCTCAAGTCAACTCAAATCCAAGACCTATTATTCCAATAAAAGCTCTTAATTTCAACCGCACTTCGCCAATAACCAAGTGGAATGAGTGGATCCAATATGTTGCAAGTTGTGGAGCAGGTGAGATAATAATTATGCTAGTTAAAATTTGCTTTTGCATTTTTAATTATAATTATTTAATTTCATTCAGCTTTGAAACTGGACAAATAAATTTATAAATCATATTAAAGAAAATATTTGTTAAGGCTAATTATTTATTTATATCTCTGTAGATTGTACCGTTTATGGAAAAAGTGGACCAAGCTATGGCGAATGTTGCTGAAATTGAAAAATCAAGCCGTAAAAGAAAAGCTGCCACTGCTGACCTGCTAGTGAAAAAAATATGCCTCCTAAAAAAAGTGAAGAAAGCCCTTCGAGGAAAAGTCTGCACACCGGCGGTGTCTGAAGCAGTAAAAAACCAAGGAAAAGGGTTCTGGGAGGAAGTTTTGCCTCATCTGACAGATGAAAATTTTCAAGAAATCTTTGTTCTGACCAAAGAAGCTTTTTACGAGTTGGCAGGAGAGATCAAGCCGTATTTCTACGCACATAAAGCCATTCCTGTCGCTAAAAAGGTTGCCATAGCAATTTACGTTCTTCGAGGCAGCTACGAACGTGGTCAAGCCTCGGATTTGTTTCACATCAGCCGAAGTGATGCTGAATCAATTTTTGTGGAGTTCTGCAGAGTCGTCAGCAAATTCCTATTTCTAAGATATTTGCAATTTCCTGATCTAAAGGAGCAGCTCAACATAGCAGAGGACTTTATGAAACTAAGTCAATTTCCAAATACTTTTGGATCAGTCGGACTCATCCATATTCCAATAAAAACTCCCTCAGAAAGTGCACACATATATGAGAATAAAAAGGATTTTTACTCGATGATTGTGCTCGCAGCTGTCGACGCCAAAGGACGCTTCATCTACTTGAATATCCAACGACCAGGCAAAGAATATGATGCTGAGGTGTACTTCTACTCTAACCTGTCAATACCACTTCTCTACAACCAGGAGAAAACTAACCCAGAGCTCCACGTGGTTGGACGCAGGTCTCTGCCTTTGGAAATGTGTTTGATGACACCGTATTGCAAGACGCACTTTAAGTCGGCCGAAGAGGATTTTCGAGAAAAGTTCTTCAACAGGAGACTGCACAATGCTCAGATAGTCATTGATGATGCATTTGGACGATTGCTCGGACGGTTCAGAATAATTATGAGTAATAAGAAATATGGTGTGTCAACCATGATCAAAATCATCACAACGTCTGTCATTTTGCATAACATTTGTGAGGAAAAGGCGCAGTTGCATGAGTGTCGTCGGCGAAAAAGCAAATTGTCTGAGAGGCCTGTGTATCCTGGTCACCTTCAGGAGAGTAGATCTGAAAGGCCTACAGCTCTTGAGAAGAGAGATTTCCTGGCCAATTTTTTATTGAATTATGAAAAATGATCTGTAATCCATACTCAAACAATGAACACTAAATAAATATGCATCCAAGAGAAACACAAACAAGGCTAAAATCAATTTTCTTGAACAAATCTATAGCATAGGCTTTTAACCAAAGCTATACTTAAAAGTAAGGGAATATAAAATATTTTACCACCAGCTACTCGGTAAGGAAATTTTAAGATTAAGTTTTACAAGATTTGTTGGAAGGAGGTGCGATAGTTTTTAAAATATTATTCTTTACTTTATTAGAAATACCTTTTGTAGGATATTCTTTCCGAGTAAATAGTATTGATCACAAATTTTTATTTACAATGTGCTCAAAGTTGGATCCTACGTGAGCCAGCATGTGCTCATGGATGTTAGACCAACCTTCCAAGGTCTCTGCACACGTATCACACTTGTAAATAAGCCCATGGTTCATCATGTGCACAGAAAGGTGCTGCTGACTCTCGAGAACTTTGAAGCACTCTGTGCACTGGAACACTTGGCTGATGGGCTGCATCTCCTCTTCTGGGGTCTTTGGAATATTGAAATTTTGTTGAGCATCCTGCTCATCAGCATAGTGAATTGTGATGTCCTCCGAATTCTCTCGGGAATCAGTCAGGAGTTCGATGGCAAATTTCTGCATGCATTCTAGAGCCTCGTTTCCTTCTTGGTTCGGAGCATCCTGTTCTTCCTTCGAGGATTGCAGTCCGTGTCCGAGCATGTGAATGGCAAGAAGTTGCTCCGTTTCAACAACTTCCGAACAAACAGGGCACTCAACTCCTTGTGTGCTTCCGCCCTGTTCACCAACTCCTGAATCTTGTTCTTCGAGTCTGTCAGGTTGGGTCTGCTCAGCTTCATTGTCAGAAAAGTGGAACTTGGCTTGGTGCTTCAAAAGATTCACTTTGGCAGCAAAATGTTTGTCACAAAACTCGCATACGTTGGACATCTTCATGTGGTTCCAAATGTGCTGGTAGAAAGATTTCCAGTTGCCCAATTTCTTGCGACAATATCCACAAATGAAGACGGAGTACTCTGGGTGCTCAATCTTCATGTGCTTGAACATCATTCCTCGAGACGGAAACCACCGCTCGCAGTAATGGCACTTGTCTGTCATCTCCAATCTGCAAGAGATTAATAGCTTACATTTCTTGGAATATTTTGATATTTAATTGGTTTTCATTCAAACTAGCAAAGTCAGGCTCAATAAATAAAACTTTTTACTGTTTTAAAAAAAATTTTATCACTCACTGGGGTACTGGTTTAGAGCATTCTCCACCATCTTCAGGAACATACTGATAAATGGGCTCCTCTTCAACTTCTTCCTCTTTTTCCTTTGACTTTGAGCTATACAAATCAGAATTTGTTATTTTCACAATAAATAAATAATTATGTGCTTACTTTTTGTCATCCTTTTTCATGAAAAGATTCTTAGGCAGCAGCTCCCACTCAGTAATCTTGCAGTCTCTTCTTGTTCTCACAGTCTTTCCAGCTTTGATAGCCTCTTCTGTAATCTTGCCAAACTCCTCGTCCTCAATCTCATCGTCCTTCCAACTTTCTGTGTCACTCAGAGCTTCTTTGTCTTGGAAAACCTCATCCTCCTCTTCTGGCTCATCATCAATAATCACAAACTTCCGCTTCTTTTCCTCCGGCGGCTGCTCCTGAGGCTTCTTGGGTGGAGGCAGCGGTGGCAGATCAAAAGCTGAATGGGGTGGCAGATCAAAACCTGTATGGGGAAAACTTGAATGAATAATTCCTTAAAAATTAAATGCGTGCATATATACATTTACGCTTATATGGTCTCTTTCTCTTTGGTCTCTGAATTGTAACAGGAGTTTGAGAATTTTCAATCTCATCTTTGGATAGAAAAAATTATTAAAAAATTTCACATTATTTAACAAACAAATTTCTTACCTAGAGCCAAAGGGTTCCCAGGAGTGTATTCGTGCCACTCAATTTGTCCTAAAATGTTGTTATGTAAAAAAGCAAATAATGCGAATGTCATTTTTATTTACCCTTATTGCGCCGTCGTTTCAGCAGGTGTGGCAGCACTCCCTGTTTCAACACAAGGGGAGTCGCTAATGGATCGACAAAGTCCGTGTTCAGCTGATATGATTTTTGATTAATTATGTAAAGAGAAAATCTAAAAAATATACGTCATAGTGATCTTGGCAGAAGTAGACCGAGGTCCTGAGTTGTGGGGGTCTAAAGTGTTTGTATGTCCATTTCAACCTCAGAAAGACCTCCATTTTTGTGAGGAGCACAGATGAAATGCTGAAAAAGCATTTTTCAGAGTTGGAAAGAGTGTTGTTGAAACAATCAGGCACAATGCAAACAATTCTCCTTGCTGACACAACCTTTGGTGCTGAAATATTTTAATTCAATTTAATTACTTCCAAAATACAAAAGGACTTAAGCGTAAAATTCTAACCGTCACTTTTTTCTGGAAGCGTATCACTCTCCTTTGAATCAGCTATCTTGGCACAGTAGTTATGTTCATGATGTGCAACAGTCTTTTGCTGGTAGACTTTATGGATTGTCTCTGGAGCTGTAGAACACAATCAATAGAAAAAAAGATTAAAAAAATTAAATATTTCAAACCAGTCACTTTGTTATCGCTGCCAACAGGTGGAAGAGGATGAAGTCGGGGTATGGGAAGTTTTGGTGTCGGATTTGGTATTGGGATGGAGAGAAGAATAGGCATCGCCAACATTCCGTTGGGCATCACCATCAATTTTGGAATTCCTGCTACGGGATTTGGAGTTGTCACTGCATGTTGGACAGGGTTGGTATTGATGAGATGAAATTGAGGTTGCACAGGAAACTGATCTGCAGACGAGGACTGAACATTTGGCTGCACGACGATGATGTTGTCGTACATCGGTTCGTCCTCGCCTCCATTTTCCTTCTCACAGCCAGATCCACCATCCTTTATTAAATTTAAAGGTTCAATAAAATATATAATTAATCAATGTGAAATTCTTTACATTGCTGATGTTCTTGTCTGTTCTTTCATCAGTCTCTGGTTCACGGCCAACATTAGAGCTCTGTGGTCTTAGAATTGTTTTCACTTTGGCCAATTTATTTGTAACTTCATTATCGCTGATTCTGTGCTTTACTTTGAGCTTTGTTTCTGCAGTTTCTGCTATGTTTCTTTCATAGTCCAAGTTTAAGGTTGGAACCCAATCAACGTCTCTGAAGTCAAGAAGTTTGCTTGGTCTTCCTGCAAAAAAATATCAAAAATTATAAACAATAGTCAGTGTTTCCAGATAATATATGTTCATATAAAGTCTAGATTATTAGTTTTACATATTTTTATCATAAATACCTGAGCGAAAATGTCTTTCGCAGACGACAGCTTTGGCTAGATTGAAGTTATCATCCTTGCTATTTTCAGGCAAGATGACTGTTTCAAAAAGCCGCAACGTCTCCTCATCACGGCTGATGGCTTTGAGCCACAGTGAGTGCCGTTCTTGAGAGAGTTGCAGGGTGCGGATGCAATCTGTAGTGATCACCGCTGCAGGGATTCTGTGGAAGGAACTCGCCGGCGCATCTGGCAACCTCCTCTTCATGCATCCCGGAACAGCACAGTAGACGCCACGCCAAGTGCTACTCATCCTTCACACTTTCATGACGATAATCATCAGATCTGATTAATTAATATAGTTAATATAATTTGCAAAAGTTTAACGTCAAAATCATTGACGATACAAGAAGCAAGAAGTTTATTTACATTGAAGCTTCGCATTACCGTCGTCAGGGAGCGCGATGTAGCTGATGAGCAAGCTGATGAATGCGGGGGTTGGGGGCGTGGCATTGTTTATTTATTTAAAAAAAAGTCATGCAAAAGATTGATCTGCACTATTTTTACTAAGATTTGGTAGGTATTATTATTATTATTATTATTATTATTGATGTTCATTTGTCCAAATTTTTACAAATTCAATGTTTACATTAAACTTTTGAAAACAATTATTATGTATTTCAGAAAAAGAGAGGAGAGTTTTGCTCATAATGAATTATGTATTGTACATACATACACTAATTAATTTTTTTTTTAATTTTTGATTGTGCTTACATAGAATTAATCATTATATTTATTTATACATTATTATTTTTAACTTTTCTTAGTTTTGAAATGTATGGCAGATCCTATATTATGGTGCAAAATCACAATAATTAAACTAAGAAATTTAATTTTTTAGAAACCTGCAAATTCCCCTGAGATAAAAATGACAGAAGGATTTGAAGATAATGGCATAGGAATGGTAAAGGTCACCCCAATGATGAAGAGGTTCCACTTTTCAAACCCTTTGTGTCTGGTCAACCTGAATCTCCTGTCAGAAGCCCTGTGGTGCAATGTCTGCGACGTTCCACTTTCGCTGAGATGCTGCGTTCAGGAAAGGATGTGGAGGAACACACACTTCCTAAAGGTCAAGTGCCACCTTTGTGTATTTGAAAGAAGCGTCCTTCTCTGCAATGATGATCCTGACGACGAGACATATCATGATCCTGAGCGATTGTCCTGTGATTACGGAGCAGAAACCTTGGCAGAAACTTTAGAGAATGGTTGTGGTGTTTATTATTTTTTCAATCTATGTTATTGATATTTTTTAATCGACTTTAGGTGTAGAGGAACCTGACATTTGTGAGAATTATGCACTTGAAGATTGCAACGACCTTTGCTCACAAAAAAGTGCCAAGTCAGCATGCACGCCTTATGCTCGAAGAAAAAGGGGTCGACCTCCTGTAGTCAAAAGAAAAGTCCCTGGATCGTCAGACCCACTGGAAGCACCAAGAAGGTCCACCAGAGGAAGGTTGCTTCCTAGAAAAGTGAATGAATCCAAAAAAAGAGTTTCTCCAGCTCCTTCATCAATTGAAGATGTCAAAAAAGTTGAAGAAGAGGAAATACAGTACTGACAAATTTAAAAAAAAAATTTAAAAAGAAAAACTGAAATTTATCTTTTTAGGTTTGATTGGGCAGACCAAGAAGAATTTGATTATGACCAAGGTCCTTTAAATCGATCTGAAGAAGAAAATGAGCCTGAAGAAAATTACAAAAAGTGATTCTTGTTCTATTCTTCAATGCAAATAAAATGTAATTGTTTTGCTTAGGGTACAAACGCCTTGTTGCTCCTACTGTCAGCGCCAGTTCCGATGGAAGAAGCAACTCGTCAACCACATGAAAGCTGAGCACCCTGAGGTGCGCGCCTTTTTTTGCGAGCTGTGCTCCGAGGAATTCACCACAATCTACTTCCTACGAAAGCACAAACGGGAGAGTCACCTGCCCAAGAATTCACCAAAGTGCGAGACCTGTGGCCAAGCCTTTCCCACGCTGGATGTGTTGGAAGCACACAAAAAGCGGCACCTGCCGAAGGACGCCAGACAATTCAAGTGCAGCCGCTGCTCCAAGAAGTTCTTCGAAGCAAAAAGGCTGAACGTCCACTTCCTAAGGTTCCACAAAAAGGTTGAGGGGGAGTTCAAGTGTGCCCATTGCCCACGCAGCTATGAGACAAAACGCCAACTTCTCAGGCACATCATCGAGCATGTTCAGGATGATATCTACGCCATCAAGCATAAGTAAGTTGATTTCAAAAATTTCCAACGCCAATTTATCTTTTGATTTCGTAAGACTTATCATTCATTGAATAATATATAATTTTAGGGATGAGTTTGCTCGCTGGAAGTGTGAGTACTGTGAAAAGATTTTCAAGAACATGGGTCGGCAGTTGGTGCACATGCGGGAGTGCCACCCGGAGTTCAAGGCCCTCATCTGTGGCTGGTGCGGCGAACAGTGCACCACGGGCAAGGCCTTTCAAAAGCATCGTCGTCTCAATCACCGTCCAGACTCACTCTATGTTTGTGACGAGTGCGGCCGAGCCTTCTTGAACCCCCGCAGGTTGAAGCTGCACAAGGTTTCCCATCGGACCGATAACGAGGGAAAAGAGTTTTTGTGCTCGTACTGCCCCCGAGCTTTTGCCGAGAATAGTTCCTTGGCTGACCACATAAAAAGGTTCCACGTCATCACCACCTACTACTGCGAGCACTGCCCGAAAACTTTCAAGATGAAGTTCAACATCCGAAGACACATGCAGCTGCACACAGGAGAGTTTCGACACTCTTGTCCCTTCTGCGGTGCCAATTTTGTCGCTGCTGATGGCAGGGACCATCACATTCGCAACTGCCATCGTTTCATGTGCGTGGTGTGTTCCTCAATTTTCCCCACAAAGGACGAAGTTGTGATGCACCGAATCAGAGAACACCCAAGTGTCGATAGGGCTCGCGAGGGTGATACAATTTTTGAGAAGATTACGGACTACAATTGTGAAGTTTGCTTCCGTTACCTATCTTCGAAACAAGCACTAAACACTCATTTGAGGACTCACACCAAGAGAAAGAGGAAAGAAGAAGACTCGGCTGCAGAAACTCAAAAATAAATAATAAATTATTATCGAATCCAGAATTTTTTATACGTTGAACCGTTTAACTTAATAATGCAAAATTAATATTATATTTTTTTTATTCTTCACAAATCAAAATTTAAAAAATAGTTAGGCGCCTGCTGGAGTTAAGGATTGCAACCAGCATAGCATGCCAGTCGTGCAGGTTGCATACCACCGTTTGCCACTGACTTTTTCTCGGAGAGATGGCGTTCGCGATCAAGAAAGGCAAGACCAGACGCCATCTTTAACATATTTTGGATGCCTCTTGGTGTTTGGAAATCATTTCGGCTTAAGCGTTTTACGCTGTAAATTATTTTGATTTCATAGTCTAGCGTTCGAAATTGTCAAATACCAACTGCAGCAATGTCCAAGCGCAGACTGGACATTGGGGACCCGTACGTCCGCCGCACGTAAGTCAATTAAAATCGTCATAAAAATTGTACTTTTTCAAGCGCCTGTTATTTTCTCAATATTTGAAATAATAATATGGCTGAAATCACAAAACGCTCTGAAATAGGTAATATTTTCTATGTATTATGAGAGAATTTTTGTGCAGTGACATGAAAGACGGTGGACCAAGTTCAACCAAGAAAACCGCAGTTCTTTTGCCGACCATCGTGGCTCCAAAAAATCCATACACCGGGCTGCCTTTTACACCAAGGTAAGCAAACAGTGTTCTTTCAGTTGCCTTTTGATCTCTTACACCGTTTGTAGATACAATGAGCTGCTTAGAAAAAGGATGTCCCTGCCCGTATGGGAGTACAAGGACAAGTTCATGCAGTTGCTGCGAGATAACCAGTGCATCGTGCTGGTTGGTGAAACCGGCTCTGGAAAAACAACACAGATTCCTCAATGGTATAGTAAAATTGATCACACATTTGTACATGGTTTCATTTAAAATATGATATGAAGGTGTGTGGAATTCTCGAGATCGTCGGGCAAAAAGGGAGTCGCGTGTACTCAGCCACGTCGAGTGGCTGCGATGTCTGTGGCCCAGCGTGTGTCCGAAGAAATGGACGTCTGCCTTGGACAAGAAGTTGGTTACAGCATCCGTTTTGAGGACTGCTCCTCCGCAAAGACAGTTTTAAAGTAAAATATTTGAACTCTTTTAAATTAAGAACAGATATTGATTAATTTCTTGAACAGGTACATGACAGACGGTATGTTGCTTCGAGAAGGAATGTCTGACCCCATGTTGGAAAATTACCAAGTGATCTTGCTCGACGAGGCCCACGAAAGGACTTTGGCTACCGACATCCTGATGGGAGTCTTGAAAGAGGTTATCAAACAGAGGCCTGATCTCAAGGTTTGTTTTTAAATTATTTAAAAAGTGGATGGATATATATATTTCTTTTTCTGTGCAGTTAGTTGTCATGTCAGCTACTTTGGATGCTGGAAAGTTCCAGCAGTATTTCGACCACGCGCCCTTGATGAATGTGCCTGGCAGAACTCATCCTGTTGAAATTTTCTACACTCCGGAGCCAGAGCGTGATTATCTGGAGGCGGCGATCAGGACTGTCATTCAAATCCACATGTGCGAGGAAATAGCCGGAGACGTACTATTGTTCCTGACTGGTCAGGAAGTGAGTAAAATTTAAAGTTTTATTAAATAGTCTTAATTTTCATTAAAATTATTTGTATATTTCATAACAAATATCAATATTTTATTCCAGGAAATCGAAGAAGCCTGCAAAAGAATCAACAGAGAAATAGACAATCTCGGACCAGAAGTTGGAGAACTTAAATGCATTCCCCTCTACTCAACCCTTCCCCCGAACCTGCAGCAGAGAATTTTCGAATCTGCTCCTCCACCAAAGGCAAACGGGGCCATAGGAAGAAAAGTGGTTGTGTCCACCAACATTGCCGAAACTTCGCTGACCATTGACGGAGTCGTTTTTGTGATTGACCCTGGATTTGCTAAACAAAAGGTGCAAATCATTTTACCTACATTTTGCTAAATCTTAATCAAAATGATTACCATGATAGGTCTACAATCCCAGAATCAGAGTGGAATCTCTTCTTGTCTCGCCGATTAGCAAAGCCAGCGCGCAGCAGCGAGCTGGTCGTGCAGGACGCACACGGCCTGGAAAGTGCTTCAGACTTTACACGGAAAAAGCTTTCAAGCAGGAGATGCAGGACAATACGTACCCTGAAATTTTGCGTTCCAACTTGGGATCTGTGGTACTGCAGCTGAAGAAACTGGGCATTGACGATTTAGTACATTTCGACTTCATGGACCCGCCTGGTAATTTCATATCATGAATCATTTTGTTGAATTATTCTAAAATCCTTATTTTTTTACGAAACAGCACCTGAAACTCTGATGCGTGCTCTGGAACTTCTAAACTACCTGGCCGCCTTGGATGACGACGGAAACTTGACTGAGCTAGGGGCCATCATGGCTGAATTTCCGCTGGACCCTCAGCTTGCCAAGATGTTGATTGCCAGTTGTCAGTTCAACTGCTCGAATGAAATCTTGTCGATCACGGCCATGCTCTCAGGTATTACCCTAGCTAATCCTCCCAATAGAGCTATTTGGTCAGAGTAATGCCTCAGCAAGCCTTTAGATTTTCGACAACACCCTCTCTTCTAAATAGATAAAAAGTCGGAGTCGAATCAGTGACTATGAACCGTAGGAAATTAATTAAACACGTTGAAAAAGAAAACAAGGCTTGTTGAAGCACTGACTAGAAAAGGTTGCCTAGGTGTAACCGGTGTCATGAACCTCCACCAACTGTATCTTCCTTGATTGGAACTTCTGAACTAAACGCGAGGGGCGTTGGGCTCTGCTGCCCTCTTCTCCTCCTTCTCCCATGTTTAGTCCCCCAGTGCTTTGTCAGGCCAAATGAAGCCAAGAAGGCTGCCGACGACGCCAAGATGAGGTTTGCACACATTGACGGAGACCACCTTACTCTGCTGAACGTCTACCACGCCTTCAAACAAAGTGAGTATCTTATTAATGCAAACGAGATTTACGATGGTGAATAATATTTGTAATTCCAGACATGGAAGACGCACAATGGTGTTACGACAACTTCGTAAACTATCGTTCGTTGAAGTCGGCAGACAATGTTAGACAGCAGCTCTCGAGAATCATGGACCGATTCAACCTGAAGCGCACCTCCACAGAGTTCACATCCAAGGACTACTACATGAACATCAGGAAGGCCCTTGTCAGTGGATTCTTCATGCAGGTTCGTTCAAAATTAATTATACAATAAAGGTAAAATAATCATAATTAATTTTCAAAGGTTGCACACTTGGAAAGAACGGGACACTATCTTACCATCAAGGACAATCAGATCGTCCAATTGCATCCCTCAACCTGTCTGGACCACAAACCCGACTGGGTCATCTACAATGAGTTTGTCCTCACCACTAAAAATTACATTCGCACAGTCACTGATATCAAGCGTAAGTTAACAGCAATTTTGAAAATTATGAATTACAATTATTGTAATCGTTTTACAGCGGACTGGTTGCTGAAAGTGGCCGCTCAGTACTACGAGCTAAGTAATTTCCCTCAGTGCGAAGCCAAGCGGCAATTGGAACAGATTCAGGCGAGGCTTGACAGCAGGCAATTCAAAGAGGGATTTTAACCTGGAAACATTATTTGATGACCCGATTCTTATCACAAACTATGATTATTAAACTATAGTTACTCTAAAATTTCATGGATCACCAATGGACTTTTCATTTTATTACTTCAATCTGAATAAAATAATAGAAAAATTTAAACAAGGCAAAATGCAACTAATTTAAGCAAAGATTTAAAAATTTAGTAAATATGCATCTTATTCAATTTCATGGAATGAAAGTAAATAATATTAACATATTATGTTGGTTTCAAGATAACTGGATAGATGCGCCTCATGTTTGAAAACCAAAAGTATATTTAAAAAAAAATTAAATGATCTTCCATCCTGTTTCTACTAAAAATTCAGAAGACATGCTTATAAATAAGATGTGCTGGTACCGATGACGATGAGTAATATTCTTTAAATATCAAAATAACATTTTTATTCTCCTTTATTAACATACAGAGCTCAATTTCAAGTGCTTCGGACACAAATTTGAGACAAAACAAAAGTATAGTTTCAGACTGTAACTTCAAATAGGTACAAATTAGCTACAGTCTTGAATGAGTCCTAAAAAGGTCAATGACCATTACTTGAAATCAATCCTCTATTAATGAAGTTAAATGCTTCACTTTGCAACTCCAACCAGCGCTGGCCTTATCACTCGGTCGCTCAGTTTGTAGCCGATTTTAGACACAGCGACTACCGTTCCAGCCTCCTTATTTTCCACTTCCTGTTAAATTTACAATAATAAGCTTGGCGAATTGCACAAATCTTAATCCACTACCTGTTGGAAGAGAGCTTCGTGCAAATTGGGGTTGAACTTCTCGCCAAGAGGGTCTATCACTTGCACTCCGTACTTCTTAAAGACCTTTTGTAGCGACGACGACACCATCGTCAACCCGATGTGCAGGTTTTTCAAATGAATATTGCTTTCCGTGACTTGATCTTTCGGTGTACTTTCTAAAGCCGTTTGCAATACATCTGAAAACTATACAAACATTTTAGTTTTTATTGTTTTAAACAGATGCGACAATTAAAAATACATACCTCTAACAAGTCTTTGACCAAATTTTGAACTCCATAAATCTTTGCATCGTCAACTTGCTTCCTCATTCGATTTAGAGTATTCTGATTTTCAGCTAGGGCTCTCATGTATTTGTCCTAATGAAAAATAAAATCCATTACATTTTTAAAATGAGTATTTAAAGTAAACATACATACTTGTAGCTCTGCACTCTTTTTTCGCTCTTCCTCCAACTCCTCGTTAAGCTTTTTGAGCTCAATTTGCTCAGCAGTCAACTCTTGAGCTGCTTGTTTTTCTGCCGACGTGCACAACCACCGAGACTTTTCAACAAGGACAGAACTGAAGAAAAATTACATAACGATAAAAAGTGAACATACACAATTCTTTGCGTAAATTTTACCTTGAAAACTTCAGACTTCTTGGTCCACCGGCTACCGTGCGATAGAAGTGCGACCCTTGAGACAATCTGATCGTCGACCTGGGCAAAGTGACCACCACTCCTGAGTTGACGCCACCGAGCTTGGACCCAATGCCGAAGATGGACCTGACCCCTCTCATCGCCGTGTTGATTTTTTTAAATCGAGGATAAAAGTTCAAATTACGTCCTTTCCTTCAAAAAGGCTTTCTGGAATTATGCCAAGATAAATTATCCTCAACGCAGGTTGATTCAAAATATTTACCTTGAAGGCTATTCGATAAAATTTTGTAAAATTGTCAAGCACAAAAGTATTTCATCAGCTCAGATCGAAAGTTCCATGCGGAATTGCATTGCAGGGGCGTGGCTCGCACTCTAGAGACATCTTTCATTTGTTTTGACTCGAATGGCGGGATGTACTTTTTTAGTTGCGCAGGTTGCATAATTCAAAGCTCTTCGCTGCATTATTTTTCTAGATTTCCACACAACACTCGGCCAATTTTTTTAGATTGATAAATCGTGTTAAATTTAAGGATATCAATTCTTGAACTAAAATTTCAGAAACAAAATAATGCAAAATAATAAGAATTCTGAGCTACATCTGACGACTACTTTTAATACAATTTTATAATGATAAAGACACAAACAATAATAGTTTCGATCAATTTGAATACATCATCCTTTAAATATTTGTTAATCTATAGCAACTTTAATGGTTTTATTGCATAACCGTTAATTAAATATAATAATTAGTAAAATAATAATATTTCAAATTAAAAAGTTGTACTTTCTTACAAAATATTAAAATAGTTATAAATTAAAATTCAATACAATTCAGTTTATTTTCCTCCAAACAAAGGACATAAGATTAGACAATTATTATATTTATTCAAATATATAACCCATAATTATTAGTTATTACTTTTTTGCATGGCAAATCGTAACAAAATTGGTTCTTATCACATTATTAAGTGGAAGCACAACAATTACTATTTCACAATTAAGTCATTATTGTGGCTAGAAATTATAATCTCCCCTATTTTCCTCTATTTATTGATGTGCTACGAACTTGAGAGTATTTTAAAAAGGTCAGTTCGATTGATAAACATAAATACAAGAGATTAGCTCTGCCTAAAAAAGGATGTAACAAAACGCAATAAAACAATATAACGAGGGAGGACATTCTCCTCGTGTATGCAGACATTGAGATTCGATTAATAATTTCAAAACTTCACGCACTCGTGGGGTGCAATAAGGCGTTTTTATCTTTATGGAGAGTCGCGTTTAAGCCAACACCTATTGCTGCTCTCTCCCTTTGTGTGCCGCTATAATTAATATATTGCGGCTCGATGTTTCTTGTATTATTCACCGAGCATCTCTTCATATATATGCTGGAACGCCAGTGCAAGCAAGAAACTAAAATTGCAACTTTATTGCACAACAACATCTTATCAAGGACAATAATTAGGCACTTTATTGGCCGATACTGCTGAAGGGCTGTAAAAGTGACGATGTCCTTTTCTTATAACGCGTGGGCCCTAGTCCGAAATTGCCAACTATATGTAGTCGAATTCAGACATCGACCCCATCACTTCTTCAGCAGCTCTCGCAATGGTAAGATGGGATCTTTTTCATCTAACAATATTAATAAATAATTAGGAGTTCAGTTCAAACAATTGAAGAGCAACAACTTAAATCATTAATTATTATAATTTAATAAACAGACTACATTGCTTCTTTCAGTTGTAACAAATTTTTCTTATATTTTCGAAACATTGGCTAATGATAATTGATTTTGATACTGAAATTTGAACTTGAAATAGCCAATTTTGAGCGAACAGAAATTATATCACCGGCAAAGCGCTAACCTTGGCCAACGCTTCCTTTTTGCTTTATCGCGACGCTTTATTCCTCGCGTATATTTTCGTAACATTCCATGCGTTCAAACAACAATAATTTCACTGTTTACGACGCGCAACCAACAAGTGACTTGGCCGAGTCCTCTTATCCTGCTTGTTGTCTGACGAAAGATATTGAAGTTAGTGCGGGTGGTGCTGAGTGACTCGCTAATGTTTCGCGATTTTGCTCTCCACGTTGCGGATGTTCCGCCAGCGGGGAAAAGTTTCATTTGTTAGAGTTTAATTTTATATTTTTGTCGATGCTATATAAATTATTGTTGTGTGTTCTGTAGGGCAACAAAGGCTCCAGTGGGACTGCAGAAGCGCGGAAGTTGTTCATAAACTGCAAAGATGACCCGGTCGCCGTGCAAGCGCACAAAAAGTTCCCCAAGAACAAAATCGTCACGGCCAGAGTGAGTAGAACATTTTGAATTTATTTTCAGAGAAGGGAAATAAATTTTACTCGTTGATTTTCGTCTTAATCTAATTAGAAAAGAATGTGAATATTTGAAGTGGATTTTTAATAATTTGTAATTTTTTTCTCAGTACAATCTCTTGACATTTGTGCCCGTCAACCTCTTCGAGCAGTTTCAAAGGATAGCGAACTTTTACTTCTTGATCATGGCCATCACTCAGGTACGTTCTTGATTTTGACATTTATTTATATCCAATTAAAAAATGTATTAAATAAGAGCACCAAAATAATTAATTTTTGATTGAATTAATAGATTTTCCTTTTTTTTCTTAATTCTATTTCTAATTTTTTACCTGCTTGACGCGGATATAAAACGTTGCTTCATAGTTTGCACACTCTTATCATTTTAATACTTCCAAATCTTTTCCTCTGTCTTCCTGTAATAAAGATTATAACACACAAAGAACCACCGGTGATTTCATTTATGAAATGTTTTTCTGTCAACAACCGAAATAAGAACTGATAATTATTTTATTTGCAGCAACTAATTGACAGTCCCGTTGATCCATCGGCCAGTTTGATTCCTCTTGTCTACGTCGTCCTGCTGACCGGTCTCAAACAAGGCTACGAAGATTTCTTGCGGCACAAAGCTGACCGAGCAGTGAACAATGCACCTGTCATCGTGCTTCGGAACGGACAAGAAACGGTTTAAAAAAATTTAATTTTTAAATTCATCTCTACTTATAATTTAATTTAAGTAGACGGTAAAGGCGATGGATCTTCGAGTTGGCGAAATTGTAAAAATCACCGAGAATCAACCTGTGCCGTGCGACATTCTGTTGATATCGAGCAGCGACGACGCTGGAGTTTGCTTTGTGACGACTGCTAATTTGGACGGAGAGACGAATTTAAAAGTATGAAAAATAAATTTAATTATCTCTTCCACGCACATTCACGAGAAATCTCTATCATTATTTGCAAAGTTGACAAAAGGTTGTTGCCTCTTCGTTCAATATTTACTTGTTGATCGAATCTGGTTCTAGGAATCTTTCAATGTTTGCTTTATTCTCTTGTGGAAAGATTACTATTTATTTTCAATATGGACAATCATTGTTCTTATACAAATCAATTAACTCCAGACAATCATCAAAAGCTCACACGCCGATAGCAAACACAGACATTGCCATAAAAAATTTACCACCGATATAATCCCCCCGTTTACGCAAGTCAATTAATAGCTTTATATATTTTTGGAATTTTATTATTCTCCAAGTTATGTAATAAAACATTGATCTGTTATCGACAGACCTTGAAATGTCCACGGACTTTGAGACGAACGCGCACGTTGCCGGAGCTGGAGAAATTCAAAGCCAGGGTCGAATGCGACCCACCCTCGGTTGACCTCTACTCGTACCACGGCAAGGTCGAGCAGCTTTCTGGCGAGAAAAAGGGCGACGCCGAAGCTCTGGACGCCGAAAATCTGCTTTTGCGCGGCTCGAAAATTAAAAACACCGAATATATTTATGGTGATTTTTAAAAAGAAATCAAATCCAGTTTTAACAATGAATAAATTTATTTCAAATCAGGGTCAACCATATACACAGGCCAGGACACCAAGTTGGCGATGAACTCGAAGAAGCCAGTAAAGAAGTACTCGGTGGTCGAAAGGTAGGTCAAAAGTTGAAAGTGGCCTTTCGGATAGAATTGAGAATTCTCCTTTGCAGAACGGTGAACAAGTTCCTGATTTTCCTTTTGTCCCTGTTGGTGTTCGAAGTGGCACTGTGCAGCGGTCTCAAGTACATCTTTGAAGCAACTAAGGAATTTGGTAAGGTTTTAAAATTAATTATTGCAATGTAAAAAGATTGACGTGAATTGAATAGACGCGTTCACGGCCTACATGCCGCCACGACCTATCATTGAAGCGGGAAGAATTATTGAAGACATTTTCTCGTTTGTGGTCATTTTCAACTACATCATTCCGATCTCCCTTTACGTGACTATGGGTAACAATTTTGAATAAATTGACAATGAAATGCAATCAATGATATTTCAGAGTTGCAAAAATTCCTCGGCAGTGTGTTTTTCGGCTGGGACCTTCAAATGTTTTCAGAGGACCTTAATGAAATCGCAATTTGCAACACTTCCGATTTGAATGAGGAATTGGGCCAAGTAAGAAAAATGTCAAATTTTTAAGTTGAGGCTTCAGTTAATTTAAATTCAGGTGGAGTATCTCTTTACGGACAAAACCGGAACTCTAACCGAAAACGACATGATCTTCAGAAGATGCTCAATCAATTCCGTGTGCTACGAGGAATTAAACGGACACCTGCGCCGATATGACGAGCACAGCTCTGATCCGGTCAAAACCATGTTTGCTCTTCCCGTGAGTAACTAATAATTAAATTAAAAAATCCTTTAAATCAATTTAATATTTTGTTTTAGCCCGAGGTGGAATTCTTCTATTTGACCCTAGCCGCCTGTCACTCGGTGCAAATCGCCCAGGAGCAGACGAAAGGAGCCACAAGCCTGGAGTACCAGGCCTCCAGTCCGGACGAAAAGGCCTTGGTTGAGGTTGCTCAGCGGTGCGTGTTGAATTAATTAATTGCCCTTTTGTCTTGAACTCGCCGCTTTTATTGTTTAACTGTGCAGGTGTGGCGCGCAATACACGGGGGAGATAACGGAGGAGATGATAATCAAGATGAGCGACGGCCGCAACATTCGGTTGAAACGACTCGAGACAATCGAGTTTACGTCAGGTACGGTTGTAAATGTAAAAATAGCACTAATAAAACTCGAAAATTATTTCCGAAGAACGCAAAAGAATGACGGTCGTGGTAGAGGACGAAAAGGGCAACATCTGGCTGCTCTGCAAAGGTGCCGAGTCGATTGTCGCCCCACTGTGCACCAGTGGGCCCATCGATACGGCGCTCAAGCACGTTGGCGATTTTGCTGTTGTACGTACAAATTAAAATTAATTCAAACAATTATAATAAACGATGCTAGCCAAGGTGAAAATAAATAATGCCAAGCTTAAAAATTAATCAAATTCATTGCATGGGAAAAGGTTTCAATTAAATATTTAAAATTTAATTTATTTATTAAAGATTTAAATAAATAATCATAGGAAAGGTTGGTAAAAAATAGGTGAATGAACTATATTATTATCATTTTGATGTAAAAATTTACAATTTAGGAATCTAATTCACCGTTTTACAACTATTTGAGTGAATAAAAACATATTATTTTGAGAATTTCACCTTTTATCAACTTTATTTGCTTCTAAATTTCACTTATTTCAATTATTTTTACAAAAATAGCCTATCCATAAGAATTCATAAAAAAAAATCGTGAAAATTATTCCAGCTTTTGCAGCTAAAACAAATCACTAGGCGTTTAATTTGTCAATAAAAACCACACATTTTTCACAAAAAAGCTATCTTACAAGGAGGCCACCTCATCTGTCCGCCTCCAATTTGGTACGTGAGCTAGGCACGGGTGTGTAGAGACCGAGTCTTACCAAATTTTGTGCTAATTGCCCCTTTTGGCACCGTTTCTGGGAGTCTTTTTCTTTTGATATAGGCAGCCCGCGAATCCTACTTGTCAAGAAATTGCCTAGATTAGCCCATTTCAGGTGTTTTATGCAAAATCTTGACAGACAGGACCCGCGGGTGGCCTACCTCAAAAAACTTTGGCCGCCTGTAAAGCGGCCAGAAGGGGCAATTAGCACGAAATTCCACCAAAATTGATCATTACACGTCCCAGCCTAGCCCTTGTATTAGTTTCATCAAAATCGAAGGCGGACACATGAGGTGGTTCCCTGGTTAGCCAAGTATGATCATAAATATTTGAATTCTTTTGCAATTCCTAGCTTGGTCTGAGGACTCTTGTGATCGCCCGTCGAGCCCTAACTCGCGACGACTGGAACAATCTGAACAAAAATCTGCAAGAGGCGCGGCAGATGATAGGCGAAAATCGAGCGGTTGCTGTGAAAGCGGCCAATGAAGCCCTCGAAAGAGACCTCGAGTTGATCGGTGCGACCGGGGTCGAGGACCGACTGCAACCCGGCGTGTCCGAGACCCTGGAAAGTCTGGCCGCGGCCGGAATCAAAGTGTGGGTGCTCACCGGCGACAAAGTGGAAACGGCCATCAACGTCAGCCTGTCGTGCAAACACCTCAAACCCGACACCGTCCAGCAAATGCTGGTCGAACAAAAGAGCAACGACGAGTGCATCCAGGAATTGCACGACATCAAGTAATTATCAAACAAGAATCTTTACAAAAATTAGTATAATTTTTTTACTTTTAAATCAGGTTGAGAATCATTAGTGATCCTCAGAAGAAACACAGTTTGGTTGTGGACGGATCCAGTTTGGCGATGGCCCTGAAACATGGACCTGAACTTTTGCGTGAGGTTGGCTCAATGTGTGCGACTGTTCTGGCTTGTCGTCTGTCACCCTTGCAGAAGTGTGAGGTATAAACAAAATATAGAAAAAAAACTGCACTAAAAAAAAAGAATAAATTGAAATTAATTATTACTTTAAATTGCGTGCTATGACACTCAAGGTGGATTTCATGAAAAATTTAAACCGGCCAAAGATCGTTTCGAAGAAAAAATGAGAAAATATAGGACAACTGACCCTCCAAAGGCAACCTGAGGTCTGGTGGTGCTTTGAAAACCTAGGGTTTTGTCGTGTCCAAACTAAAAGTAAGTGGGAGGAATTAATAAAAAATAAAATGGAGAAATTTTAATTTTAATTAACAAAAATTGTAGATATTAATTAAGCAAAGTATGAAGCTATGGACTGAATCATTTGCTTAATTAATTTCCGCAATTTTTGTTCATTAAAATCAAATTCTCCCCGTTTAATTTTTTCTATGAATTCCTCCCACGTAGTTTTAATTTGATCACAACAAACCCCTAGGTTTTTAAAGCGCCAGCAGATTGCAGGTCGCCTTCTGGGGTCAGTTGTCCTTTATTTTTTCATTTTATCTTTGCAACTAGGTTCGTCCAGTTTCAATTTTTTCTCATTACTTTTAAGTTTATTTTAATTAGATATTTTATGAGGAGCTTCTGCTTTAAAACAGCGAAAAAATTTTTCCCTATAGAGTAGCATCGGTTTTGAAAATTTTGTTTAAGGTGACGTCATAAGAAAAATTTAATTCATTGATATATAGAACTTAATTTTTTTTTTTAAATTAACGTTGTTTCCTTTAAGAATATTCTAAATTAGTTTTTTCTTTCGCTCCAAATCAACCTAATAAAAATTGACAAAGATTTCATCAAAATGAGTTCAATTAATTTGGCAAAAAGAAAATCAGTGAAAATTTCGACTTCAAAATTTCTTCTTATGGAACACAGCTCAGTAGATTTATTTTTAATTTAGATTAACCACAGACTTCTGGTTAATTAGTTTTCACCCGAAATTTACTAACAAATAGATTTTTTTAAACTCTTGTTAAGATTGTGGCTCTGATGAAAGCGTCCAAAGAACGTCCTACGACCTCTGCGATTGGAGACGGAGCCAACGACGTGTCAATGATCATGGAAGCCCACGTCGGAATTGGTTGGGCCAAGTTTTTAATACTTTTGCAAAAATATTTATATATCAAAATAAAAATTTCGCCCAGGCGTTGTCGGAAAGGAAGGTCGTCAGGCCGTTCTCAGTTCGGACTTCGCCATTCCCCGATTCCAGCACCTGAGACGCGCGTTTTTGGTGCACGGCCACTGGTACTACCGCAGGGCAGCCATGCTGGTCGAGTACTTTTTCTACAAAAACATCGCTTACGTGACGCCGCAAGTGTTTTTCCAATTCATCAACTTCTGGTCCACCACTGTAATTAATCTAAAAAAAGCTCTAAATAAATAAATATAAAATGTTTCGTTTTGCAGGCTTTGTACGACGGTTTCTACATCACTCTGTACAACGTGATCTTCTCATTCTTCCCCGTCGTCCTTTTCGGAATCACGGAGCAAGATTTGAGTGCCGACACCCTTCTGGCTCATCCGGAAAATTATCTCAGGCACCGCAAAAACAAACTGATGGAATGGCCTAAATTTATGGGCTGGGTGGCCCACGGTAATTTTAGCTCTTTTTTTAATTATATTGATGAAAAAAAAAATTAATCGCAGGATTGTGGCACGCAATTTGCTGCTACTTTGGCGTTTTGCTCTACTTGCAAGTCAACAGCACTGCTTTGAACGGGAACGGTTCGGACGCGGGTCTTTGGATTTTGGGAACGGCGACGATGCACAACGTCGTCATTGTGGTCAACTTGAAAGTTTTGATCATGAGCCGATACTGGTCCTGGCCACTTCTTGTCGCCATTGTCGCCAGCATTTTCCCCCTTTTCATGGGATTGGTAGTTATTTACTGCATACTTCCTGGATTCAGTCTGTGAGTATGACTTGATTGGAAAAATTGAAATTGTTTTCAAGTTAAAAAAATAAAAATAAAAAAATGAAAATATTTTCAGTGGTGGTCGAAATACGGACAAACTATTTGGCTATGTGGTGATGCTGGAATCGCCAAATTTCTGGCTGCTGACCACGGTGATCGTGGTCGCTGCCCTGATACCGGACTTTGCCATCGAGTCCTGGCAACAAATGGTTCCGGACGGCACGTTCTCCTGGCACAAAATCAAGAAGGTATGAAATTAAAATGCATTCAAGAACCGCGGAAGCATTTTTTGCAAATTGTTTGCTTTCAGCTGCTGCATCTGGGCGGCAAAAAAGGCTCGCGGATCTACAACAACGCGTCCAGGCAATTCAGCATATCGAGGAGCGGGACCAAGAACAACTACAACTCTTATTTGTAAAGAAGAACAAAGCGCGAAATTTTCACCGAGCACTCTCTCAAATCGATTTACTTTGAATTATCCGCGGAATGATTGTAAATAGCCACAACAAGGAAACGACAACACTGATTCGGATAGTTTGAAGCAGCTCAATCCGTAGCCATTAATATTATTATTGATGTACTTTTACTTAGTCATAAATATATATTTATTTCATAAAAGTATCTTTAAAACAATTTTTTTATTTTAATACTAATTTTATAGTAACAAGTAAATTTAATTATTACTAGATAAAATCACTAATAAAATAATATATAAAAATATTTTGAACAAATAATTTTTGAATGTGAAAAATTCAGCACTGTGATTGAATATTCCTGAAAATAAATTACTAATACTTCAGAACACATGTTAAATGTAAATTGTAAATTATTTTATTAACAATGAAAGGTCGAATTTAGCAGCCAAAGATGAATTGTAAAATAAACGTCTGTTCAAGTGACAGTCTCTGGTCTGCTTTTGAATCATTCCCAAAAAATAAAAGAAACAGAAAACTGACTTTTTTATATCGTTTTCAGAAAATTCAAGGCTCGCTGAGCATCTTTGAAACTGATAAATAAATAATTCTAAGTCGTGATGGCAGAAATTCAAATGTGTTGGGCCATTTTAAGTGTTTGCTTTAAAAAACGCTTTGATTTTGATGGAAGGGCAGATTTCAATGAATCTGAATTGGGAGGAAATAAATATAAATTATATAAATTTTTGTATTTGAATTTTGCGCATATTTGTCTATTTGCAAAATAAAAAATCGCGAGAAAACTCGATCGCAAATGATTTCCATGAGCGCGAGTGAATTTCTATTCAGCCATCCGCGCATGCAGGATTAATTTAAATGAAAAGGAGGAAGGTGTGCGAGGTGGAAAGTGAGTTCGTCCGTCTGCCTGCCGGGGACCGGCTTTTGCTCGCATCTAATGACCTTGATTAAAAAGAAAGAAACATGAGCCGACTACTAGGTCAGCTCGCAATAATCGACCCCTGGGGTCCCGCGGCCCCCGCGGCCGCCCGAATCGCGACTCGGCGGAATGAACAGAAAAAAAAAATGAGGAGCAGATATAGCATTTCAGCGTGAAATAGAAATCTAAGAACTCTTATTGTTCGGGGCAGTGTCGTTTTATTGGAAAGCGCGAGATGTGCCGCGCCAGCCGACGACCTAGCATTTCACCTGGCCATTGAGATATTTTTCTCCTCCACTCGCTCGCGCGTTCACCACTCTCTGGGGCCGACCCAGCGAGCCGAGAGAGGCGCGAGTCGCGGCCTGCCCGACCGACTAGTTGTCCGAGACATTGCGAGCAATGAAGTGCACCTCATCGAGACGACCGCTTTTGGTCGCCGCCGTTGGGCTCGTTACATTAGCCATAGTCACAGGTGAGATCAACTTTGTTCAACTTCCGCGTTTTACTTTGTCACAATTAATTTGAATATCTTTCGTAAGAAAAAGAACATTTTTGTTGAGTAAGTTATTTAGAATTTTCCTCAATTTACATATAAATATTTTCCTTTTTCTCTTATTACTTTTGAAATCGTTTAATAAGATAAATTTGCAGTCTCCTCATTTGTAATGAGAGCAGGTGGTGTGACAAAAAAACCAGTCAGACGCAATTATTGCTTATTACCAAACACTGGAGAATGCTCACCAATTTTATTGATTCTTACAAACAAGTGAAAGTGACCCGGGAGTAGATCAATGTCATCAGCTTTTGACGCCGCGTTTGTGTGTGTGTAATTTATTCTTTTGAGGAAAACAAACAATTATCAAATATAATTACGCTCCGTATTAACTTTTCCTCTCTACGAATTTCAAGGAACCGTGAACACCGCCGGCGATTGAATTTAACATTCATTTATCGGTCCGTGCTTTTTTAAAGGTCCCGTTAAGCGTCTCTCTGTCATTACTAAATTACCATACACGATTCTCTCTCTCTCTCCGGATCATTTCCAGAAGGTTCTTTTCGTTTGTTGAAATTTTTTGTTCATATATCTCTCGGCCCGAAATTTCACTGCGAGAACATAATTATTTGTGAGGTCGCACGCGGTTGACATTCACATTTTACAAAACTTTCTATAGTCGTCGGCACACACACCATAATTCGTTTCATTTCTCTCGGCCGCGCGCGCGACTGAGTGAAAAATGTGTATAAATATATATGAAAATATAGAATGTTGCAGCCAGTGTGAGAAATGCGCCCGGTTTCTTCTCAGCAATTACCTTCCTGAAGAGTAAAATTTTTAAACTAACTCATGAGTCGGTACTCACGTTCTCGGGGCCGACAAAACTTATATAGAGTAATGTCTCGTTAGACCTAATTTCAAAAGATTTTCTAACGACTCCAACACTGTAAATAAAACTTTTCAACCTTTTCCAATATGAGATCAATGTAAATTTTTATTCTATGTTAATTGAGGTGATATGAACGTGATTTGCTGAAATTTTTATCAATTTTATTCGGGCTTATTTTGAGAAAAAAAAATATTTTAGAAAATTCCCTTCAGAAATTTCAAAAAATTCAGTTCTCCCGATAAATTCAATTTTCTTATTATGCCTTCTTGGAACTGACATCTTTAAACCAATGCTAATGTAGCGAAAAATTTCCATCAAAATTGATCGAATGTTTATTTGCTCAAGTCTCTCCTTTACTTACAAAGTTTAAAATAATATAATATACGAGTTTAAAATTGTTTACTGTATCGTTTTTCCTCAAGTATTCAAAATTTGTTAGACAAAATCGCGCAAATTAAAAAGAAGCAAAGAAAATTCTTTACAAATTTATTAATTTACAAAGAAAAGTTGCTTCATTTTTAATTCATCATGTTTCTAGGAATACTTGCAAAAATATGTTGATTTAAACGTTAATGGCTGAGGTAAATTTATTTAAAACGTTTTCGTTTTATTTTATAAAGTTTAAAAACATAACAATCCTTTTTCATAGTTGATTGTGAAAGAAATTTTTTATTTTTAATTTTCCTTCATCTACTTCTGTAATTGGCAGTGCAACCTGCTTTTAATTTGCAAAGAGAGTACGCCGCGAGAAATCTAAAGATACCGCGGCGCATTTATGCAAATATACAAGTTATATGGATCAGTGACCGACCATAAATACAAACACACACGTGAGGTATTATATTGGCCTGAATTAAAAGCGTCGGGGAGAAAGTGCTTTCGGCCAGCACAGTGATGATGATAATGAGGCTATGATACACATTTCTACTGATTTTGCTCTTTCTTCTTTGCATTTTCTGTCGCGAGAAGGAAAGGAAATCGAACGCACGATTTTATTTTCGCCCTCGATTGGAAAAGCGCTACTTCCTATGTATATAGTTTGCAAGTCAATCGCCGTGGCATTGGCTCCGTTTTTTTTTGTCCACCGCAACCTGTTTAAGGAAAAATTTCAATCCTGTTTGAAACTTTGTCTGCTGCAAGACAGCCTTGGAGACGGACTGCTGACGAAATTTTCATAAAACCGTGTTTGAAAAAGGGCGGAGTGCTTTTGTGCTGTCAACTGCGCGTTCCTTTCTAACTTCAAAAGTTATTTTTTTTGGTTGATTGCGTGTGTATTATGTTAATAAAAAATTAATTTATTCCATAAGCCATGAGGAAAAGTTTTCTATAAAAAAATGATGGCGTCGCAGTCAAAGTCACCTTCAAATTAAGTGAGCTTATAGGCGTTGTTGTATTTGCTGGCGTACAATGCCACATTCTCAGATTTTTTCATGAAATTTTTAAATACAAGGAAGTGGCTGTTTATCTAGAAATTAATTATAATAATTGAATGAGGAAATGCTAATAACAAAATGCGTAAATTATAAATGATCTTCACAAAATTAATTATTAGTGATTCAAAAGGATTGAAATATTGTGGCTGATGCAAAAGACTTTACGATAATATCAAATTATATTTTAAGTGAAATTAAACTCATTTCATTCCCAAGATACAAAATAAGAAGTAAAGAAACTTATTATCATTGTTTTATAATTTCAAGGTGAACGATTACGGAGAGCAACAGAATCAGAATTCATTTGTCCGGAAGGAGAGGGAAATGGAAATTTTGCTGATCCTGCCACATGCCGAAGATTTTACCAGGTAAAATTCTAAATTCTTTTGAGAATTATGAATTAAATTAATTAATAACTTAATCTTTATTAGTGTGTCGACAACTACCCCTACCTGAACAGATGTCCCTCGGGACTTTATTTTGACGACATCAAGAAATTGTGCACATTCAAAGATGAAGCTCGTTGTGGACCAATTCCTGCCAGTGAGCAAATTTGAAAATGCAAATAAATTGCATTTTTCATTAATTTTTTTCCCTTTTCAGCACCTGCGCCTATCACAGAGGTGTCTCTCGACAAGGCCAAAAAGTGCGACACCGCTGCCTGCTCGTTGCCCTACTGTTTCTGCTCAAAGGACGGAACCAAGATTCCCGGAGACGTTGAACCTAGCCAAGTGAGATAAAAAGAAAATAATTTAAGGGTTGTTTGATGGAAATGCGTATTTCAATAGACACCCCAAATGATTTTGTTGACTTTCGACGGCGCCGTCAACCTGAACAATTACGAGCACTACAAGAAAATTTTCAACGGAGATCGCAAAAATCCAAACGGTTGCGCAATCAGGGGCACATTCTTTGTCTCCCACGAGTACAGCAACTACCACATGATCCAGGAATTGGCCAGTCAGCACCACGAAATCGCGACCGAGACTATTTCGTAAGTTTAAGAATTTGAAAAAGAAAGAAACAAAAAATATGCAAGTGGATATTTTTAAAATTAATCAATAATCAAATCTAAACTTTTTTTATTGCTTTATCAACAAAATGATTATTAATTGATATCATGTTTTTAAAATCGAAAATTTCAGTGTTCAACAAGATCTGGAAAATAAGGGGTACGAAGAGTGGGTTGGCGAGATGATTGGTCAGAGAGAAATCCTGCGCCACTGGGCCAACGTTTCCCGCAGCGACATTGTTGGAATGAGAGCTCCGTATCTGAAACCAGGCAGGAACGCGCAATACGAAGTTTTGGAGGACTTTGGCTACATTTACGACAGCTCCATCGGAGTGCCGCCTTCGAGGATTCCTCTCTGGCCCTACACACTCGACTACAAAATCCCCCATGACTGCAAGGCTGGCACGTGCCCCACTAAGTCATTCCCAGGTCGGTAGATTTTATTTAACGGGAAACAAAAATACAGCGATAAATGTGCAGGAATCTGGGAAGTGCCCCTGAACGCCCACTACGTCGAGACTTACGAGGGTGGTCACTGTCCGTACTTGGACCAGTGCGTCCTGCACAACCACGACCCCAGCGACGTGTTCGAGTGGCTCAAGGAGGACTTCAATCGTTACTACCAGCAAAACCGCGCGCCGTACATGATGCCTTTCCACACAAACTGGTTCCAGATCAAGGAACTTGAAGCCGGATTCCACAAATTCTTGGACTGGGCGATGAAATTGTAAGATTTTTAATTCAAAATCGGAGTGGGATAAAATAAATATGTATCAAAACAGGCCTGACGTTTGGGTTTTGACGACAACTCAGGCCCTCGTCTGGATAACCGACCCCAAGCCTGTCAAGGACCTCACAAACTTTGAGCCCTGGAATTGCCTGAAGGAAGCGACAACCTCAGTTCCATGCAATTTACCCAACAAATGCCCACTTTCGTTCAGGGCTCCCGACGCAAACGTTACATCAACAAGGTAAAAATCCCAAATTAATTCAATAAATCTAAAATCTATTCCATAACTTGATTTTACTTTTTATTATTTTTTTACGCTCCTACTGAGCAGGACAAATAATTGAGATTGCTTTCGATCCAGGTACCTGACAACATGCAGGGAGTGCCCCAATAGGTACCCTTGGATCGGCGATTCCGAGGGCACCGGCATTGCCGGCAGAGACGTTTACAACCCAGAGAACTGAGCAGAGCAACAAAGCTGCTGCAAGTTCCTAGAGAGGCGTGTCTCCATTTCAAATGTTTGTATGTTGCTCAAACATGACAGTTTTTATTGTATTGTATGTTTAATTGATTAATTAATTTAAATGAACAAATATACATGTGCTTTAATACTCATAACTCTTGGAAGCAGAGACTCTCGCCTCCAATTTTATTTCTTTTCAATTAATTTAATAATCCTATAAATTGATAAAACAACAACAACGCTTTAAAAAAAATCAATTTCACCGAGAGCTTCATTTCTATTTGCATTTTACTTTTTTTTAAGTAGCGAGTGATGTCGTTTGACAAAAAAAAAAGCAAAACAAGTTCCACTTCTTGGTATCTATCGATTGCGATAGACAATTAAAAAATTCAGCTGCTATTAAAATAAAAATAAAAATTGCGCATCACTCCTACCTTATTAATCTATCGTCAAGACCCTATTGCGGTTGCTATTGAGCCTCGGTGCATCCACGTACTCGGGACCATAGCGCAGAATTGAGATGGCAGTGATGAAAATCATGGAGCCCCAGAAGAGCAAACACAGCAGCGTGAATGTGGTATGTTCTGAAGTTGAAGTCAGCGATTTACTGGTGTTCGGAAATGTTATGTAAGATGAAAACTCACCGAATGGGGTGAAGAAGTTTGCAAAGAACATTGCAATGGCGCTTGCCAAAACGAGAGGGAACTGAAAAATTAATTGACAAATTAGATTTGAGGAAAAATAATCTTTGAAAAAGTTACTGTAAGATATTTCCAGTCTCTCTGTCTCAGGGCAAGTGGTGATGGCGCGGGTTGCGTCTTGTCATGGTCTTCAACAAAGTAGTTGCCCAAAAACAAGTCGATGGCATCCTAGAAAATGAAAAATAAAATTGCAGGAGCGTTTAAAATATAAAATTTATAATTATTACTTGTCTGAAGCCATCATGGAAATTGTTCTTGACATATCTGGTCAGGGAATTGATGCCGTCTGCGAGAGCTCCAGAGACAGTCCGCTTTCCGGTTCTGGTGAAGTCGGTTTTCAGCGCCTTCGTCCCAGAATATTGCTCACTAATAGCATCTGCGTTGTCAGCCCAGACGTGCTTGAACAGTCGCTCGAATGCTGGCTGATCTTCCACTTTTTGACCACTGCTCAGAATGCCGAATCTCTAAAATTGGTTAAAATTTTATTAAGGCAAAAATAGCTGTGTAGGAATTCATACTTCGAGGGCATACTGGAGTGCTCTCCTGGCCAGCATGCTTTGGACGACGTTAGTCCTGTCAAGGCAGTCGATGCAGTTGGTGCGGAAAACACCTTCCTGCTGATTAATGAGAGCACCGTCCCTTGCAAGGATGAACTGGCCGAACTCGTCTTGCTCGTGGGCCAAACGATCGATCAGAATGTTGAGTCTCTCCCAGCGCATTTTCCGACACTCGTGATGAAAGTCAAAAGCTTCGTACCTGATGAAACATTGTTTCAATTATTGTCTTAAGCTATTATTTGTTTCAAAAGATTGACACTCAAGGAGATGATCATGGAAATGAAGAACTTGGGTGTTTTCCTAGTTGTAAAACGGCTCTACCAGTTTCGGCATGAGCGAGAAAAATAAAAATAAAAATCAGCACCATGAATGAAAATGAACCACATTTTAAAATAAAAATTCAAATCTTAAAACTAAAACAATTGAATAAATGAGTGAATGAATTTGTTAGTTTTAAGATTTGAATCTCTAAGTTTAAATGTGGCTGTTTTTTCTTGCTCATAAAATAAGGTCGCAGACCGTGACCGAAACTGGGAGAGCCGTTTTGTGAAAAAGCCCGATCTCTTCATTCCCAAGCTATTATGCCTATAAAAATTGCAAACCTAATGTTCGGGTTGGAGGTGAGTGTGACCATTTCCTGATATGCTTGTTCTAAAACGAATTCAGCACCCCTTTGATCGATCTGCAAAAACAAAAATCTTAAAAATGGTATTTTTAAATTTAAATAAATCCAACTAACCAAGTTGATAAGCACTTGTCTGCCGTAGTGGAAGATTTGGGTGTCAAAGTGCCTTGCAAAGGCTTCAGCGTGGTTATCCACTTGGCTCAGGCGCGGAGACGGTTTGTACTTGAGATTAGGTAATTGACTCCAGTACAGAGGAATCGAACCTCTCGTCTGCGGGAAAGAAATAAGAATCAACTTAATTGAAGAGAGAACAAGATTTTTGTCTTACTTGGACGAATGAGCACTTGTCACCTTGGAACTCCAAAATTTGCTCAGTCTCGACAAAGTTGGCAACCTGCCCTTCGCTGTCGATGCCACGCATGAAGAATCTGGTGCCGGCCCTGTGGCAGCTGCGTCTCGAGACCAACGTCCACAGGAACGTTTTGCCGTTCAAGTTGCACGAGTTTATGGAAATGACTTTTAAGAATTGTCAAGGAAGAAATTTTCTAAATAAATGTGCATGTAAATCAATTAATTCTCATTAAGAAAGGATACAGCCCAGTATCAACGGTAGGCAGAACTGGCTCAACTCAGGCTGAGACGAGAAGTCCCTCAACATGTGACCATTCCACACAAATCGAGGATCGGCTCTTTCGTGAAGTGGGGACTGAAAACACATTGAATTATCTTTCATAAGAAATTTTAACGTGGGTTCAGAAAGTGAGCAAGAAAATCAATGCTCGGAAAATGAATTAAAATTTCCAAATTTTTTTCAAAACAGAATCGGATTTCTGTTTCACTTAAAACTAAAAAATTAAGACAAACAACAACACTACGAAAAGAATTAAAATTTCCAATTAAAAGTTGAAATCAGTTGAAATTTTGGCATTTTAATTTGTTTCTTGAGCATTGGCTTTCTCAGTTGGCTCAGTTTCAGAATACATGTTCAAATTTCTTTTTCTTTTGAAAAATTAAAAGGAAAACTGGAATGTACTAAACAACCTGTTCATTGCAGTGATTTAAAAGCATCGTTGTGAAAGTTACAAAACAAATTATATAAGAATTATGCACCTGTAGATATTCTGGAGTGGTGTTGTGAAGCCTTTGGAGTGTATGAGTCAAGTCGTACGAGTAAGAGAAGTAAAAGTACGGAACGGTGAGCATAAATTCGATCATCGAGACCAGCGTTTTGTTTTCTGCAGCCTAAAATTTAAATAAAATGCATGAAAATATAATATATTTTGATATTTTTACCTGGGCTTCAGTGAGATGCAGAAGGGTTCTGGTGCAGCAAATAATATCAGCGCCGGTCACTTGCCAAACGTTTTGGCCATTGATCTGTCCGATGAGTTTTTTCTTCGTGATCACGATCAAGTAAGGGCCGGCGATGAGTTTAGTCATGCCGATGATTCCACATATCGGCTTCGTACTTGCTGAAGGGGGAATTATGCTGTTTGTTTCTGGAAAGAAAAAATAAATAAATTTTGGTAAACATCGATCACAATGAACTTTTGTCGTTCGTTACCATGGCTTAAATAGACTTCCTGGGTCACCCGGTCGATCACCAGCAGTCCTTTCTCTCCTATGGGCTCGATGTAAATTTTCTCTGGAGAAATGTGTCTGAAAAATATGAATCAAAAATCGATGAAGTTGCATAATTGCCTAAGAAAACTCTGAATGTAAAAATTTTTCAACGCCTCGGAAAGAACTCAACTCACAGCAGGTAATTGTTGAAAACTTCGCCGGCCGACGGCATCTTTGCCAAAATTGCAACCCTCGGACTGGGAAATCGATGGACGCGTGGAACACGAACAGAAAAGTCAACCTTGCGTGCGAAACTGCGGCGATCCGAAGGCGTTTTGGCGACCAGCTGGTCCGGTCGGCACCAAAGTGACGTAAACAAGAGGAGCTGCGCAGTGGGCGAGTGCGCATCAGGCAGGGTACCACGGCAGGGGTGTCTTCACGTTCACGGTACGGACGGTGTCTGCAAAAAGCACCAGGGGAGACGTTGCGGGCGCCGGGGCGAATCAGTGCCAGTTGATGGAGATCGAGGCTCGCAAGCAGATCGGCCGGCGCTTTTAGCAAGACAAAGAGAAGAGAGCCCGGGCTATTTTTAGCAGAGGTGTTGAGACTGACGTTTAATTGCTACCTCGTCCTGCAGCCATGCCCAACATCCAGAACGACATCAAGCTGGACTTCAAGGACGTCCTGTTGCGGCCCAAACGGAGCACCATCAACAGCAGGGCCGACGTGAGTAAATATTTCAATCGGAACAATCGTGAGAGTTGCGAGAAGATTTAGAGACGACGGATGACAGCAACCGCAGCTATAGCAGTGCTGGGTGCCGCCAGACACCTCTAAGGACGGTGCTAAATTCAGCTGCACGTGACCCACTGCCCTCGAACCAAATCAGTTTCGTTTTCTCAATCATCTGCTTATATATTGTGCCAAAAAAAAAAAAAATTAAAAATTGTAAATAATTTTTCTTTAAACTTATTTATTATTATTTTTTTGAAATATTTTTTAAAGCAGTTTGTTTATTAATAATTATTGAAAAATTTTACATCATTTTTTTGAAAATTATTTACAGGTGATGAATGAATTTTTAAAAAATAATTCTTCGTGAAGTGAAAAATAAACACTTTATGTATTGAATTTCTTGATATTTTATAACGATATCAAAAATATATATTTTTTTTTAATTTCTAAAAGATTTCGTCACTGACAACATTTAATTGCATTATTAACGTTCCACATGTTGTTAAGAAATCCTTTTAAATATTTTTTAATTGTAAATTGTAAAATAGAGTTTAAGATTTATTTCTTCTAGGGAGAAGCGCGAAAACTGTAGATCGAAAAATGAAATAGATTGATAATTTTTTCTATGTCTATGAGGGTAAAAAATTTCCATTTTTATTTTTTATTTCTGTTAAACTCATAAACTTTTAATTTTACTGCTGGCGGCATGAGCTTCTAAACAACTTTTCCAAACTAATTATTTGAAACCCGTAGACTTTTCAACAGTGACCAAACGTGTAGGAACACGTTCAAAGTCACTTTCAGATAAATTTAAGCTTGAAGCCAAATTTTCAAAATTTTCAACACCCCATTCGATTTTTTTGGAGGAGTAGGAAAAAATGTAGCCCATTTAATTTAGAATCGGTATGGTGAAAATCAAAAGTGCGGTACTTTTTTATTTTATTTAAATCAAACTTGAATAAATGAAAACGTAGCTTATGCTGCCATTGCCATCGAAATCTGGATCTTGCAAGAAGCTTTTTTAATTAAGGAAATTAGTTCATTCTATTAATAAAATAAATAATTTGGAATGTGAAATCAATATTATTAATGGAAATATTAATTTATAATTTATTTTGTTAATTTTGCACATAATTTATGAAATAATATTTGCAATAAATATTTATATGATAAAAGAGGCTTACAGGCTCATTGACTATTTTCCACAGTAAGATCAAGTAAGATAATAATTATTTGTTGTAATTTTTCTCCTCGATCAATAGCAAATAAGTTTTTTCTTTAAATTTTTGATTGAGTGGTAAAAAAATTAAATACAATCAAGCTTTTTAATCTTTTTAACCCTTGGTAAAGGGCAACTGTCGCAATTACTGACGTTTAGCAGAGATAACATGAAAATTAAAAAATGTGAATTCAATACAAATTTTGAAAATTTCTACTTTTTATGCCAACAGGTGAACCTGGTCAGGGAGATCACGTTCCGGAACTCGAAGCGCAGCTACAAAGGCATTCCCATCATCGCCTCCAACATGGACACAGTGGGCACCTTCGAAATGGCCATTGCGCTGAGCAAGGTTTGTTTATCTGCATTGACCTACATTAACTTGCGTCCGTGCTCAACTCTGACGGCTCCGACTGCGGCACACTCGACTGCTGCATGCAATTTACAAAGAATTTTTTACTCTCAAGAAGCGCGCGCCCGAGCTCAAAATTTTAATTGGCATATTGATCGCACCTATATTTACGGTATTTATAAATAGCTTCCCAGTTATTTGATTTGTTAAATAATTCTACCTATTTTTCTACTCATTAATTCATCATTTAAAGAAATTTGCAAACTTCATTTGAAAATAAAGATATAATAAAAAATAAAAAATAAATCAGGGAAAGTCAGTGTATTATTAATTTGTGCAAAATTCGCAAATTTTATATAGCTGTTTTCCAACTAGTTCATGTGAATAAGAAATGTGATAAAAATATCGCAATAAAGAGTTAAAATTTTAATTTAATACAAGGAAATTACGACATATAAACTGTAAAAATAAATCTTGAAATATGAAAATTTTAAATAAAACATTTCAACCTTTTACCACAAGATCAATGAAAATTTTTATGTCGAGTTGTTGACTGACCTATTATATTCTTCCATCTAAATTGGGGTGATATGAACGTGATTTGCTGAAATTTTTATCAATTTTGATCGAGCCAATTTTGAGAAAAAAAATTATTGTAGAAAATTCCCATTAGAAACGAAGTTAAATTTTAATTTATCAATTATCCCGATAAATTCAATTTTTCTTACTATGTCTCCTTGGAACTGACATAAAAAAAGACCAATGCTAATGTAGAGAAAAATTACCATTAAAATATATCTCAGGCAGGTTTTTTGCTAAAGGCTCTCCTTAAAAGTTGAATCTACTTGTATAAAAAAAAAAATAATAATCAATTAATTATTTATGAGCTGAAATTCATTTTCCGGCATTTTTTTCCTGATAAATTTCTATTGTCTCGATATGTATATAATATTTTTCCTATGTAGGTTTGTTCTAAAATTTCTGTTTGATATTTTTCGCAGCACGGAGTCTTCACAACGATCCACAAGTACTATTCTCCTGAGGAGTGGCGACAGTTTGCCACTGACCACCCCGAGTGCCTTGGAAACGTGGCCGCCAGTTCCGGAACGGGTCAGGCCGATTTTGAGAGACTGCAGCAAATCCTAAAAGACGTTCCTGAAATCTCGTACGTCTGTCTGGACGTGGCCAACGGGTACTCGCAGCACTTCGTCGAATACCTGCGCAAAGTCCGAGCCGCCTACCCGACGCACACAATCATTGTATGTTTATTTATATTTCCAAAGCCGAGCTCATTTCGATTGATTTATAATGTCTCTTGAAGGCTGGCAACGTGGTCACGGGCGAAATGGTCGAGGAACTCATCCTCTCGGGCGCCGACATCATCAAGGTCGGCATCGGCCCCGGCTCGGTGTGCACGACGAGGCGCAAAACTGGAGTGGGCTACCCACAATTGAGTGCCGTACTCGAGTGCGCTGACGCAGCACACGGCTTGGGAGGCCACATTATTTCGGTAAAAACTACAAAGTTTATTAAACGTGATTTAATTTATTTTATTCCCCTTCAAAATGAAGTTTTTAAGCAACTCTTTGAAACTTTTTTAAATTCAACTAAAGAAACTAATTTTTATAAACCACAAATAATATAAATTGCTAATGAAGATAATTTTTACATAAATCTGAACTAAATCTTTTTTTAAAATAACCACTAAATAAAAACTTTGATAACATTTTTTATTCATTAAAAAATTAATTATTCATGAAAATTGTAAAATTATTTTAAAATTTGTGAGAAAAAAAATATTAACATCTATTCAATTAAATTTAAATTCTTTATATAAATTTTTGATGTATAGAATGTAACATTAGTGCAACCCATACTTGTTTGACAATTGCGGAAGATTGGTTAAAAAAAATAACCAAAGCAACAATATTATATTTCATTTTTTTTTTTTTTTTAATTTTGATTATAAAATTTGAATATTTTTTTAAGGATGGAGGTTGTACATGTCCAGGAGACGTGGCAAAAGCTTTTGGTGCAGGCGCCGATTTTGTGATGGTCGGAGGAATGCTGGCAGGACACGACGAGAGCGGCGGAGAGATAATTGAAAAGAATGGCAAGAAGTACAAGCTCTTCTACGGCATGTCGTCCAACACGGCCATGCAGAAGCATGTCGGAGGCGTTGCTGAATACAGGTTAATTGGACTTTTCTCAAATGAATTTTGTTTACTAATTAAATTTATAGAGCTTCAGAAGGAAAGACGGTCGAGGTGCCGTATCGAGGACCTATTGACGTGACAATCCTCGACATCCTGGGAGGGCTGAGGTCAGCCTGCACCTACATGGGTGCAGCCAAATTGAAGGAACTCCCCCGAAGAGCCACTTTTATCAGAGTATCGCAGCAAATCAACAACATCTTTGGTTTCAGCGACTAGTCATCAGTTTTTAATTAAAAAGAAAGCTTCTTTGCTTTAGCGCTCTGGTTCCGTCAAGATAAAATATCGTCTGTGTAGCCTAGTCATATGTTTGTAACGCGCACTTGTCACTTTCTGTGCTTTATTTTCTTCTTTACGTGAGGCGAGTCGATGTTGTATTTGATTGCGGAAAATACCTCACTTATGTTTGTTCGCTTGAAATATGGTTGGGAAAAGTTGATGCAGCTTGGCAGCCGAAGATGCATTTCAGTGTTAATGAACCTGCACAAATTTCTTCTAGATAAGCAGTGGTGTTTGTCGGTATTGCACAAATCTATGTGCCAAGTGGTCGGTTCCTTAGTTCAAAACACGCTAGTCAATTTAAAAAGAAAAACTACGTTAAAACTCTTCTGCAAAAATATCCTCAAATAATGATAACAAAAAACATCGATCTGCAGATCTGATATTTAAATAAAGATATATTAAAAGTATTAAAGTTTAGAAACAGGTTCTATTTTTCTTTGAAAAGTTTTTAAACAAAATCAAAATTTACCTTGTGGTATCCAGGTGGTATCCTATTATGAAACTAAATCTTAATAATTATTAGAAGTCTTAATTTGTTAATTTTTTCAGTTGTTATATATTAAAAACAAAAATTTTTGCGAAAGATGAAAAGAACATCTGAGATAGAAATATATTATTCACAGATATATTTCTTGTGATAAATTTTAAATGTGTCTTACAATTATATAAGAAAAATTTTCTCCACAGCACCTGCAGCTATTTGCTGGTGCCAGAAATACATGTTTAACCTCCAAATTGATATGGAAATAAAGATTTATTGATGTGACAGTTATGAAATTAAATAGTTTTCTTTATTTGAATTTTACTCCAAATGATAGTAAACACAATAATAATCATCTTACTCCCCTTTTATTAGTAATTCACTAGCGCGTGTCGTTCGCGTAAAAATTTGAAACAAGCGGCTGCTGTGATTGGCTGTTGAAAATTCCCCACTCTCTGATTGGCTCCTTCTGCAATATTTACAACACCCAGCTGGGATCTGTTTATTCTGAAGGTCGGCGGTGAAAATTAGTCATTTTAGTGGATTTTCTCCGGGAAATTGTTATATCTTGATGGTCTTTGCAATGCCGGGATGCTAATTTTGCTTTTGAACGAATTTAAAGACCATGGGGCGTGCATAAAAGCGATGAATCCTCAAGCCTTTTGAAAAGCTTTCATCACCAGCATGAGCTTCAAACCTCCAAACGTGAAGCTTTTGAAGCTGATCGTTCATCAGAAAAATTTTAGCGGTATGTAATAATAATTGTTTTAATAGTGCGTGCATCCTCTATATCATCACGAAAATTATAAAAATTGCAGGGGAAGATTTGATCATCAATCCGAAAGATTTCCCAACAATTAAAAAGGGCGACATTGTTGAGATTTACCACCCTGAGGATGAAAAAAACAGCAGGCTTTTGTTACAAGTCACATCTTTCAAGGAGGACCTTCAAGGCAGAGGTACGAAAAATAAAATTACACAGAAAAGCGAAGACTGATTTTTAATTATTATTTTTTCTAATTTGTTTATATAAAATTAACAAAAAAAAACTTATTTATTTATTCATCTTCTCAGAGACAATCAGCATCGAGCAAAGCATTGCCAGTGCTTTCCAACTTAGAACTTATGCTGATGTTTGCATGAACATCGTGAGTGCCGAAGATGTTGCCCTTGATTCCGTTGAACTCACCTTCAAGGACCAATACCTGGGACGCAGCGATATGTGGCGTCTCAAAAACACCATGGTGCGCTTCAAATTTTTTTTTAATTGCATTTAAAATATATCAAAACTTTTTAACCAGGTCAACACTTGTGTCTACCTGAACAAGAAGATTGAATACTGCGGTGGGAGCATCAGATGCCAGGTTTACGAAATGTGGTCCTTTGGTGAGCGTGTGGCTTGTGGAGTCATCAATGAAGATACTAAAGTAAATTTAAAAAACATTTATATTTTTCAATAAATCTTAAAATGCTTTTTCTCTATCAGGTAATTTTTCGTTCGTCCACAAGTATGGTGTATCTGTTTTTGCAAATGAGCTCGGAAATGTGGGACTTTGACATTCACGGCGACTTGTACTTTGAAAAGGCTGTGAATGGTTTCTTGACTGATTTGGTGCAGAAATGGAAGGTTCGGATTTGTCGGTGGCTTAAAAAATTTAATGCAATTTTGTACAATAGAAAGCAGGCAGTAATCACGAAGTCACGATAGTTTTGTTCTCGAGGACTTTCTACAAGGCGAGCAGCTTGGAAGAGTTTCCTTTGTACATGAGGGAGTGCCTTCAACAGGACTACAAAGGCAGATTTTACGAAGACTTTTACAGGTAGAATCTGCTTTTATTGTTTTGAATCTGTTGAAAAATAAATTTTGAAATCTGAAAGGGTTGCCATTCAAAATGAGCGGTACGACGACTGGACAAGCACAATTCAGTTTCTCCGCAAACTCTTCCCGATCTACCAGCAGCAAGTCTTGGAATACCACGTCCGACCAGGGGTTGCTATACCCAAAGCATACAACTCGACCGCTAGTCAGGGGAACTTCTTGGAAGTCTTGAACATGTCGCTGAATGGTACAATATTTTCTGCCAATTTTTTCTACTAATTCCTTTTTGATCGTCAGTTTTTGAGAAGCACTATCTGGATAGGAGTTTTGACAGAACTGGTCAGCTGTCGATCGTGGTCACTCCGGGCGTCGGAGTTTTCGAAGTTGACCGAGAATTGACCAATGTGACCAAGCAACGAGTCATTGACAACGGCGTCGGCAGCGATTTGGTCTGCGTAGGTGAGCAGCCTCTGCATGCCGTCCCCCTGCTCAAGGTGAAAATAATGAGTTGTGAATTATAATTTAATAGTAAAAGAAATATCATCCAAACAGTTCCACACCAAAGACGTATCGATGAATGCAGTCGACGACTATAGTATGCCCCACTGGATCAATTTAAGGTAAAAAAATTGAATTGTTTATTTTTACAAATTTCTACAAATTGTTTTCATTCGATTTTTGGGAACCTATTTAAAAAAAAAATGTTGGAAAAAATGGTACCACCACTAGCAAGAATTTTGCTAAATCTTCCAAGATCAAAAAGACCCCTTCCGCTGCAGTTAGCTGAAATTATATTAAATTTTAATTTTTTATTTTTAGTTTCTACTCGACAAACAAGAAAGTGGGCTACTCTGAGTTCATTCCACGCATTAAACTGCCTCCGAAGCTGAACCAAACACAAAGTAGGCGCTCTAGTCAGTCGGTGCCCCAAACCAATGCGAAAGTGGCCACGGAGGAGGACCAGTCTGGACTTCCTAATGCCCTCTTTGATTATGATGCGTACGATGCAAAAATCTTTCAATTACCGAACATGCACACTTCGGGGTATTTCACGTTCAAGGAAAGTATCAGCAATTTTTTCAAAGATTATTCTAACTCCCAGGAGATTTCCACATTCTAAAAAAGTATCCACTGGCACAATGAACGAGCCCTACCTCAGCTACATCTACCCTCAAATCAGTGCAAAGAGAAAAATGTCCGACCCTGATGTGCACCATCTTCAGAGTCCGTCGCCTGTGCCTGGACTTTCAAGGATCAGATCTTCTGCCATCTCAATTCCGAGCAGATCCATCGAAGGCTCCCCAAATAATTCCTTCCACAATCTGCAGGACTGTAATATTCTATTTAATTTCTCCGATTATGCAAATTAATATAATCTGTTGCAGTGAAAAATTTTGCCAGAACGGTTCAAGACTACTCGCCTCCGAACCAAAGCAGAGCAATCATCGGCAGTGTCGGTTCCCAAAATATGATCAACCAACAGGTCAAAATGAGACCAGGTCGAGCTCTGATCAATCCGTTCGACCCATCTCACGTCACGATCAAGCTCACCTCAAACAGACGTCGATGGACACACATTTTCCCTAAAGGTGAAAAATGGTTTATAATTTTCACTTTTAAATAAATATGAGCAAAATTAAAACGAAATTATTTCAGGGCCAACCGGCGTTCTCATCCAGCAGCATCACTACCAGGCAGTGCCGGCAAAGTCGTTCAGTGACCACTACGACGCCGAGAGTGGTAAAATAAACACACAAAATTGTCTTTTATCATTTTAGCATCGCATGATCTCTGTTTCCCACAAACACAAACCCTATCGTAAATAATTTTTCTCCATTCATGTTTGATGTTGTTTTAAACCTCTAAAAATTACTTTTGCCTGATTTTAAACATCCCTTAAATGTGATATGAAAATTAGAGAGTGAATGCAATGCTGCTAAAACCCAACGCACTTAGGGCCATGGCTATTTTTTGCATTAATACTTTCAGACGACAAGCAAATTAATGAATTCGCGCCCAGAGGATCCTTGTCGCTCGAGATGCGCTCACTCAACTGTAAGTGTTTTGCTTTGTCATGTCTCTAATTTAGCGAAAACGGCACTAGACTTGCACTTAACTTGCTTGTTATAAATTTTAGATCTGATTTGATTAATTTTGTAACTGAGAGAGAAATTTAAAAGTTTTCTTCGTGGACCGTAAAGACAGTCTATTATTTTTTCAGATCTGAACAAACACTTTGGAGGTCAAAATAGTCGCAACATGACTCTTTTGTGGGGTGCAACTGGCGAGCAGGAATGGACTCCTGCTCTGACAACCGGTAATGCAAGATTTTTCAGTTTTCAAATTTTAATAATCATCAAATAATTTCCCGGGCGAACATAAAATAAAAAAAGCATTGGGGAGTTCTCAACTAATAAGACGGATTGAAGCTGTTTAAGAAATCATTGAACTAAAATTCATAATTAAATATATCATCTTCTTTTTCATGCCTCTTTGGACCTTCAATTTGCGCAGCTGGAAAAGTTATCATAGGTCTGACACCATAAATATGACTAAAAAATTCTAAGTCGCTAGAAAATTATATTCTTATGGGTTGTAGATTAGCTCTTCATTAATTTTGACTGTTTTTTTTGTAACCTTGCCTCTGCATTTATATTTTTCTCATCTACGACTTTCACATTTTCTAAAAGCAAAATGTGCTTCTGGTTTCAAGCGGAGCATATTTAATGTAAAATGTTGCTTCAGGTTAAGCGCTCACTTGTATTTTAATTTATTTATAAGCTTTCTGTAACCTTTCATCGTTATTTTGCTGCAGTCATTATTATTTTTGTGTACCTCTTTAGACGTTGCCGATTTGTGAATTTTTCGTTTTATTGCAAGGCCCAAATTAATTTTCAAATATTAATACAGGAGTCGACTGGAAATCTCTGACCATTCCGGCATGTCTGCCAATCACGACTGATTATTTTCCCGACAAAAGAAGCCTCACGAACGATTATTTCGTGTCCGATTATGATTTGCTACCCGACGATGTCAACTTCAGCTACGCGCAGCAAAGAGCGATTTTCAAAAAGCCTCTGACTACCGTGGAAGTTTTCCGAGAGCTCATTTCTCAGAGACTCTCTCAGGTACTTGTTTTTGTAAATTGTTTCTAGCAAAAAAAAAAAACACTTTATAATTTAATGACAGGGATTTCAACTGATCGTGCTTCCAAACACGGAGAGTTTAGGAAGAACGGCCAGAGCCCCTTCCACGGAAGTCAATCCACCGACTGGAAACCAGATTGCCAACAACGCTGGTGGTTCTTTGATGAGATCAAAATCCAGGAATGACAAAGACTCGGAAGAAGAGTGTTTGCTCAGCATTGGCAGGCTTTTCCACAAAATCACTTTGACGGGATCAACAATTACAGTCACAAGATATCGACCAAGGTTATTTTTCTCATTAATTTTATTGAAGCTTTTCCTAGTTGCAAAAATTGTTGTTATTAAAAAAACAAAACGGCTCTGCCAGTGGTCACGGTCTGAGATCCTATTTCTTGAGCAAGAAAAATACAAAAAAATCAGCAAAATTTAAAACACCTCATTTTAATATTTGAATTTTTGTTTTTATTTTGCTGATTTTTGTGTAAATTTTTTAAGCAAATTAATCTTATTAAGATGGATTTAAATTGAAAACAAGTTTTTTTTTTGCAAATATTTATAAAATCCTCCTGAATTTTCAGACACCCATACCACCCGTTCAACATTCACTACCGCTATCGTTTCCACGCTCCAGACCATTTAACTTATGAGGTGTCTTGGGTCTCTTTTACTTCGGAAAAATTGGAAAATTACAACTGGAACTACATGGACCACTACATCTGCACCAGAGGCGACACAGACTTTGCCCTTCTCGAGGTTTAAAACTTTTTTACTTAGAAAAAATTGTTTTTATTCTTCTGCTTTGTTGTTTAAAGGCTTTGAAATTCTGGAGGTTCAGAGTCTACCTTTTGCCTGGATCGCATTCGGGGACAAAGAAGATTTTGGAGGGCAATTCGCACTTTGACGTGTACCAAGTGCAAACGCTCGACGAGCAAGCGCTTCTCACCGACGGATTCATCAGATTCGTCGAGACCTGGGTCAACAAAATCAAGCGGCCCAACACTTTTAAGAAAACGCGGGTACTTTCCACTTTGGTTCGTTGCTCAAAATTTTTTGTGTAGGATAATTATTTGGCAAAATTAACTCCGCTTTTGAAGCGCTTTTTTACGCAGAAATTTTAAGCTAATAATTGCAGACAAGCGTTGTCGGGAGTTCCCCTTTCCGAGAGCGACTCGGCAGCAACCGAGTGATGGAGAGACCCAGGTCGAGGTTTGTCCTCTTTGATAATTTGCAGGTCAATGTCACGCTTCACCCCGTCCCTCCCTTCGTCCGGCGCTGGAGTTTGGTGGATTGGTCATCGACGCTAATTAATTTTCACAGAGAGCTTTTTGTTGATTTTGCACCCTTTTGCTTCTTTTTAACAAAAATCATATCTTTGGCACGCTTTTTCCAAAGTGAAATGTTTTTAGCCATTTATGGGTGCTTTGGTCACGCTAATTTCTCATCATATTTTCATCTCTTATGCATGTGAATAGGGCCTGCATGTCTCACCTCCTGCTAATCGACCAAACGATAGAGTCGTAACTCCCAGGTGTGTAGCTAAATTTTGAAACAAGACTTGGAATTCAATTTAAATTTTTGATCTAGATCCGGATCCAAAGTGATGGAGCGAGTGAAGACGGAAAATACAAACAGCGGTCGAGTGTCACCAGCGAGCGAGGTTGCTTTCGAGAACGCAGAGACGCATAATGTGGAGAATAATGAGGAAAAGTAAATTATTTTTATTATTATTATTAATTTTTTTTTAGAAGAAATTTACATTTGAGGAGATGATCATGAAAGTGAAGAATTTGGGCTTTTGTTTCCCTCGTTGCAAATTTATTTATTTATTGCAACGAGGAAAAAACCCAAGTTCTTCACTCCCATATTTTTTTTTCACTTAATTCCTTAACAATGTCAAAGTTTATTTATTTATTAACTGCTCAATATTTTTTTTTTTTTAAATTTAATTTTCTCCTTTTTCTTCAGCACAAACACAGAATTCAAAAGACTCGGCTCAACGGCAAGCTATCAAGAAATTTTGGAAGCAATGAAAAACCCCAACTCTGGTCTCATCTTCCTGTTTCTCAACCAAAGTTTGCCGCCGATGACCTTCTCGAGCGCCGATGCTGTTCACTGGTTGATCACTCATGTCGACGGCTTAACTACAAAAGATGCTGCAGCCGATGTTATGCAGGTTCAAGAAAATGAGGAATTTTTCTGTGCAAATTTATAACTTTACTCTTTCCAGGGAATGTTGAAAAATGAGTTGATTCGTCACGCTTCGGGCTCAAAAACTCATCCTTTCATTGTTGGATTTTACCTCTATTACATTATCGGAGACGAGAAAGGTATTTTTATTAATAATCATTATTCATTGAGCTGTTTTCAAAATAAATCTTTGATCTAGTCTTGGGAGATGCGATTAGTTTTGAAAACGAGTGGGTCGAGGTGGAAATCGAGCGGCCGCTGGGCTGGAAAGTTGACAACACGACACCGTTATCGCCACCCGTTGCTAGTTTTTTGGCTGATTATCTTGACCACCAGGACTGCGGGGAAGATTGGAAACGTATGCAATTTCATCTTTTTCCAAATTATCAAAATAATTTGAAAAAATAGGCCCCAATTACAAACACACGCACTTGGATATTGACGTGGCCAACAAAAGTGATCGGATCGAATGGGGCCATGCCAAGTACCAGCCGGTTTTTCGAGCCGACAGAGCGTACGAGTTTTCAGTTCAGTGGGTTGCTGCGACTGGAACTGTTGTTTCCGACTTGGTATGATTTTCAATCAACCCGTTGAGATCAATTTTGAATTTATGCAATTCTGAAAAGGTCCTTGGCTGGGCTCGAAAAGCGCAACCGTGCGGCCTGCACATGATCCCAGTGCCCGCTGACCCTTTTGCCTTGCCCTACACTGAAAAGTCTGACCCGTTACGAGGCCCTATTTTCGTTCCTCTGGACATTGAAAAGTTGATGGAGAACAGGAGTCATCTTTTTGAAGGTATAAATTTCACTTCTCATCGTTCAATTTTTAATTAAAGATTTGTGCAGCTTTCCCTGAGGAGGGTTGGAAGCAGAGGCTCTTTTTGCTCCAAGATGCAATTGCATCCAGATTTGGCTTCGTCTCCTGCATCCTCGAGACACCCCCAGGCCAACCTTCGAGGCAGCCTCCCATGCTTGGAGACCCTGTCGGCACTCCGAATTTCTCGACTCCTACCAACTCGAGTCAGGCCAATCCTTTTCATAGGCAGTACATCCATCTGACTGGAAACGCCTTCATCATGATTCCAACTCAGCCTTGTGTAAGGATTTGTATTTTAATTAAAAAAACGAAATTGATTATTTTTACTCCAAATCAGTGCCAGCCAAGAAATGGACCCATCAGGATACAGACCAGCTACGGGTCTTCCAGGCAGAGCCGATATGCATCTTTGCAGGACCTGCCGATGTCTAGTCCTCACGAAGAATACATCACCCGGCATGTCAGTGGCAAAAGCAGCCGAGATGACTGTGGCTCGGACACAAGGGTTGGTTAAAATTTTCCCATTTTTTATAAAAATTATGTGTAAAATTTAGGTTGGATTTCTCTGGTCGTGGAACCACATGATCGGCCGACGCTGGAAAACTGCATCAAATCCAGCCACCGGGGATGAAAATTTCCAAAATCGGCTGCTCAAAGACTTCCAGGATTTTTGTTCCAATGGTGATAACAGACTCAAGTTGTTCTGGGAAAAGTGTTGGCAAGACAAAGAAAAAATATCTGCTGTTAACCCTGTTAATTGATTTAACCATTTTTTATATTTTATGTTATACTTTTGCAATATTAAATTTCTTGATAAAAAATTATTGAATCTTATTAAAATTTGAAATGCCAAAATTTGTTACCATTGTCGCAATGAACTTGATTTAATTAAAATTAAATGAAACAATCTTTTTTTTATCTTTGGAGAACAGAAATGATTTATTATTTACAAGATTGTGGGGGCATCAAATAAGTTATACAACGCGTGGCAAAAACAATGTTGAGATGCCCAACTGACTAGACCACAAAATCACAATGGGTATATAAAAAAATTCAATACCTCTAATAATTAATTATTTTGTAAGCAGGCGTGTCTGTGTGTGTTGCGAGTGTGATTGTGTACTGAATGAACTTTAGATTGGAATAAGAAGTGCAAAATTTGAATAGCGCACTGGATTCATTCCAAAAGCATAATGGAATCGATTATTAATTTCTCTTCACTCGATGCCAAAGGTGCTCGTCTCCTCCACGGCTAACAGCAGCTTTTCGTAGAGCAGCTCAGGGGTTGGGTACGGAGGCAAGTCTAACCGATTGAAGCAGGTGTGGGCCCTTGAAAAAAATATGCAGAAAATTAAAATCTATTAATTCGAAATGAAATGAAAATTATACCTCGGGAGACTATTGGGCTTTCCCCACTTTTCTATGCAGAACTTTCTGGGACCAGTGCTTCCCCTTAGGGCGGCAAACCCTTCATAAGGAATGCTCGACGTCCCCGTGACAAACTGCAAAAGTCGCAAGCGTTGCTCGTTGCTGAACTTTTCGATGGCGAGCCAGAACCACTGGATCACTGGGTGGTTGTCGTGGTAGCCTGACGAAGAATAAAAATTTATTTTCTGCCAAAATTTGGTCCAAAAAATGATTTTACCTGATCTGTATTCTGTGTTTTTGCGCCAGTCTGAAAGGTCAATTTCTGCGGTGCCTGCAATTACAAGCTCCAGTTCGCGAGCGTCGAAAACTGAGACCAATCGAGGGTCTACAACTTCATAGAAGCCCCGAACCAAGGACTCAGTTTGCTCGGCAACTCCTCTTTCCAAGCGCCACCGAACTATCCTTTCCAAATATTCCTAAAAATTCCAAAATTATTATAAACATCAAAACGTAGAGTTCATTTAAAACTCGTACTTTTTTGTTCTTTTCCGTGACTCTGATATTGTTTCCTCCGAGTTTCAGTTCTCGTTCCACGATCTGGCCAAAAACCTCCTCAGTGACGGCAAAATTGAGATCCAGCAAGTCCGTGATGTCGTTCTCTTTGATCCAAAGCAAACTTTGGTGGAATTCGTGGTCCAGAGACTCCAGGTCACTCAAAGAAACTGGCCTTTAATTCAAAGAAAATCATTAAAATTCAATATAAAATTTATTTTGCATGAACTAACAATCGAAGCAGTGCTTTGTAGAAGGGGCGAGTGAAAAAAGCGTCCAGCAGGTACTGATGCACCAGGGCCAGGCCTAAAACGCGGCCACTAAAACGGAACCACTCGTGATGGTTGTCAACGAAGGCCGAGACGGGAGACACCTGGACGGTGTACGTGTCATTGGCCGAGTATTCGAAAAGTCCATAGTAGGGGTTGAAGAGCTCCCGGGAGAGCAGGAAGAAGAACTCCCTGGACGGACCGCCGTAGTCGAGACCCTCTTCCCTGTCGAAGGTGATGTACAACTTGGACTTCTGCAGGTCCTTCTTGGACGCGGCCATGATTTTGTTGAACGCGTCTTCAAGCAGGTGCTCCCGACGAATGTGAAGCCTTAAGAGAGAAAATAAAATCAATTAATTAAAAAATAATTATTTTCTATAAAAAATTATTTTTCCCAAAATTTAAAAAATTCTGCAGTTTTTATTTAATTATTTAAGAAATTAAGGAACATAAGAGTTAATAAAATTAAATTAGCTATAAATTCCCTTTTTTTATTAAATCATTACTTATAATTATGTGGTAGAATTTCATGATTGAGGGTTGATTCATGATGATTTGAATTTAAAATCGGCTTTTCCTCGATGAGTTTTGTGACTTATTTATTGTTAAAAATTGTTTATTTGTGTAAAAATGTAACTTTAAATCATTTATCACGAAAAATTGTTTATTTGAAAGAAAAATATTATCTGTCAAAATAATTTCACAGCTCATGAATTATTACTGCAAACCGCAACCGTAACATAAAGAGCAGGATAGTTTTTTCTTAAACAATAAACAACTCACAAAACCCATCGAGGAAAAGCCGATTTTAAATTCAAATCACAGTAAAATAATTTTCTACTTTTAAATTATTTCCATAGAAAAAAATTTGGAGCCTCCGCAAAGCATTTTTTTAATTTAAATTCAGTTAATTATTTAAGAAAAAAATCTAAAAGTAAAGAAAATCACTTTATTTTTTATAAATTCCCTATTTTATTAAATAATCACTTTTAAATTTATTTCTAAGCTGAAATTATGTAAATTAATCATGAAAATTTGACTTACTTGAGCTTTCCTGGACCCTGGCCGTAGCCTTTGGACTCGAGTTTGCGGTAAAAATTGCGCAGCTTGGCCTCGAAGTCTCTTCGGTAGGGGGCCGGAGCCCTGGCGTTTGCTCGCGACAGACCTGGCGAGGCCTGCGGAGAAATCTGGGGTGAGCCTCTCGGGGAGCGGCCGGCGGCGGGCATGGCTGGCACGTACGACATTATCTCCTGCTCAAACAGGCTGAAACACAATACAATTGAAAATTACGTTGTTAAACATTGCGACGGGAATTAAGACAAATTAGAGCCTTGTTTTGATACCAAAAAACCATTGGACTGCGATTTAAATATGATTATTTCAAAAATTTCTTAAATTTCCAAAATTATTATATAATTTCTCGTTAATGGATCTGGAAACAAATGAAATAGGAAATATTCTCACAGACTGAAGAGCATTCCAAGGGTTTTCGCAAGCCAGCCCATTTTTCTTTCCGCTCAATTTATCAAAAATTCGAAGTCGTCACTTGATTTTCGCTTTTCGAGACCACCGCCTCATTATAATAATTGTCACTGAAGGACCGAATCACGAGCAAACGCAACTCTTTCTTTCTTTCGTCAGCCCATGTTCAGCGAGCAAATCGCGACCGCAAACTGACGGAAAGAAGCGCGACGGCTGAAGCACAAAAGCGGACGAGGAGGGTCTTCGGCGCTTGCGGGGCGCGCAACAGGCGCTCGCCGACCAAAAAAAAAAGAAAAGATAAAAGGAAGACGTCGCGCAACATTAATATTTATTTCCGATGTTGTTAAACGATTCCGTTCTAAATTTACTCTCGCGTTTGCAGAGGGAAAACGGACTTGATGATTTGATTCGGTTTTTATTGTCTTCGTGGTGACAGTTTGTTTGGAAATTTCGAAACTATAATGAAGAGCAAACGTTCCGACATGGGCGGTTTAAAAATAAGAATTATTTATTTAAATCATATTTTTTTTTGTACTTTGAAAAGTGAAACAATTTGTCCAAGAAAGATTATAGTCTTTAATGCGTTCACAGTTTTAGTAAAAATCAATTCTTGACCATAAGTTTAGTTTTGGAAATTATTTTGTTCAAAGAAATTGACACTCGAGGAAATGGTCATGGAAGTGAAGAACTCGGCCTTATTCCTCGTTGTAAAAAACTGTTTTTACTAAATAAAATCAGTTTGCTCATGAAATAGGATTGCAGACCGTGACCGAAACTGGTGCAGTTTTGTTTTTGAACTTTTTGAATAAAAACAATTTTGTACAACGAGGAAAAAGCCCGAGTTCTTTACTTCCGTGTAAATTTTTATTTTAATTAAAAGAATATAAATTAATTTTCAAAATTTTCAGTTATTTTGTACAGTAAATTAAGCTTCAGAAATTTCTTACGTCTTCACCCTGCGAGCGGTCAGCCTTGAAAGCGTCGAATTGATGCATTTGCATAAATTACGTCTCTATTTCTTGTTCCACCCGCGGCCTTTGATGGTTGTTGTAGCATCAGCAGCCGAAACGGGAATCGCAGCACAATTAAATCGTCACTCTCGCTTTCCAACGCGCGAGACGGAGAAACGAGCGCGAATAAATAAACAATTATTGCAATAATGATGCCCGAGGGTGGCGCAATCGGTGATCGTTGTTTGTGTTTGCGCGGGAGTCGCGCAGCTTCTGTTATCACGGCTCGAAATACACAAATCGCGCGCGGAATTAAATCGTGCATGGAAGTAATAAAAATCTGCACTTGGTGTGATTGAAGGGAAATAAATCAAATTTATGGTAAAACAATTTTCAAGCGAGCCTTTTAAAGCAAAAATTTGAGAATGTTATGTTTTACTTACAATTATAGTTGGATCCAGAGATAAAATATTCTAAAATATGCAATTTTTTACAAGAGAATAAATATTTTGAAACAGAGCTTGTGTTTTATTCCACGGACATTTGATGACTATTTTATTTTTGGTCGAATTTCGAGGCCACGTTCGGATACAAATGTGAATTTAATTTGCAGAATTCGAGAAGCGGAAGTTTCAAATAATCGTCCAACGCTAACGGTAAAAGAAACGACAAAAGCAGGAGGGAAAACGCCAGGTGAATACAATGCGAAAATTATTCAGCAGCCCCCACATTCGACATCTGCTCGCGCACGAATTGATTCGTCCGATTTTTAATTCAATATAATATTCTTGCAAATTTATCCGATTGTTCCATTGTGCGTCGAAGGCACGATTTCGGAGGCGTGGGTGCGAATAATAATGTTTTCGACAGGGCTGATCGAAAAGGAATAAACCTAAATAGCAGAGTTGGTTTGTTCGTTCAGATTAAATATAGGTCAAGTGACATCAGCTCGTTTGCGGGAAGAACAAGCGGCGCGGCCAACGCTCGCTCGCTCGCTTCCTTCCGTCACCTGCACTTTTAGCTCGCTTTGTTTCAACACACACACCACCTGCCCACGCGCCAACGCAAAAAAAAAAGAAAAAAAAAACACAGCGCACTCGCGTGGCGATTAAACTACTTTAAGTGCAACGGTTCACTGAACATTGAGATCAACATTCAAATAATATTATTATTAATCTTATAAATTATTAGTTTTAAAATTTTCTTGGCTTCTGAATCTTCAGATTATTGAAGAAAAAAAAATGGTATTTTTTTCATGTCAAAGTAAAATAATATCTCACCTTAGCAAGATTGTGAGGTCGATGTCGTCGCTGAGTCTGTCGAGGGCGAGAGTGCCGTCCACCCTGATGGCGTTGACCTTGTCCCTGAGACTCTGGCTTGTGCCGATGGCCGCGTGTCTTTCCTTCAGGATGTCCATGATGTTGGCCTGCCTGAGGAAGGCGACCACCTTTTCGTTGTACGCGGTCGGGATCTCGGGCATGATTCGCTGCACCAGGGCCGTGTTGCTGTTCAACGGACGGGGAGGCGGAATGGGAGCCTGTTTGACCCAGACAAAAGTTTTATACTTAATTTAAATTTAAATAAAAAACTTCAATGCAAAAATATTGATTCTTAAATAATTCTTACCCGGGCCTGGCTAAGTTCCTCTTCTCCTGCGCTTCGGCTTCTTCGTCTTGCCCCAGGGAGGAGCAACTTGTGTGGATTAACATACGGAGCCTCCACAGGTACACGAGGATCAATGAAAGTTGTAGTTTTTAAAGTGTGGTCAATGAAGAATTGCTGGAAATTTTTGAAAATTATAATTTTTTTCTAAATCATATAAAAAAATTACTCGTACCTTTCCGTTTCTGTCAAACTTGGTCTCCCAGCCTCTCGGCAGGTCACGTTCAGTGTCGGCAAACATGTTGAGCATCGTGACCAGATCACGGTTGTGCTGGTACCTCTCGAAAGCGTGTCCATCCCTCCTGATCTTGGTTACCATGTGCTTCAGGGTTCCGCTTCTGTTGTACAGGTTGAAGGCCTCCTGAGGCATGAAATAAATTAGTTGCGAATTTAATGGAGAATTCATAGTACAAACCTCATTCATGTGCAGTATGGAGAAAAAGTCTGGACGGGCGATGAATTTGACGGCAGGAACTTGCAGAATTTGATCTTGTCGCTCGGGAAGTGGGGGCGTCGTGGTATTGCTGGTTCCCTCGGCCGAGTTGGCGCCAAAGTCCTCGACGTCCAAGCGGCGCGAGGTGATTGTTCGACGGATGCTCTGGTAGCGGCGGTCCAGTTGCTGCCGCTGCAGGTCGTTGCTGGACGAGCGGGCTCGACTGGCCGCGGTCAACGAGGGTCTCTGCCACGTTGTTGTTCTGTTCACATGGTCGATGTAGAAGATTCTGCCATGGCTGTCGATCCTTGCCTCCCAAACTAGAGTGAAAAAATATTATATTTATTAAAATTTAGAATTGAATTAAAAATTATCAAAACATAAAACTGATTAAAAATTCATAAAAATAGCAATTCTCGTTGGCATCATTTTAATTAGACACACTCTTGGCAAGGTTCAACCAAATTGAATGAAATTTGGCCCAAAGTTGCTGATTTTGAAGAAAGGAATTTTTGAAAATAAAAAATATCTCAGTTCCTGTTGCCAAATGAAAATAAACAATGCCTATTATCAATTGTTTCAGTTAAATATTGAAAGCAGAATTATTAAAGTTCGATTCAACTCACAAGCTGGCAATGGTTCATCGTCAGCTGACAATTCGACCCTTTGGCTTTTGTAGTTCCTTTCAGGAATCGAAGGCAGTCTTGTGGTGGTGACGTGTCTTGCGGCCATGCTCTGCGGCATGCAGATCGGCGGAGGTTCGTCAAGCTCCAGTTCACACTCCGGCCCTTCGTCAGTGTCCCGGTCCGACAGCAAGGGTGGAGGGGTGGCCCTGGCGTTTCTCCGGGCGTGGTGTGTAGGGGTGGGGGGACACTGGGGCGAGGAGCCCGGCAAAGGACTTGCCACCCTGGCCAACAACTTGTTCTTGGGTTTCGGGAAAAAGTCGTGGATGGACGGCGGATGCGTCGTTTGCCTCGAAAGAGGGCGGTGAGGCCGCGTGGGGGTGGCCGAGGCCGCCCCCGGCTCGGGCAGGGTGACTTCGATGAAATCGGCCGAAGCCAGAGATTCTGAGCTTGAGCTTCGGTTGCTCAAAACGACCGTGTCGGAGCCGCTCGAGGTCACGGCTGTGTCCGAGTTGGGGGTGATGGGAGAAATGGGGCTGATGGCGTTAGTGGAGGTCTCGGGGACGGCCAGCAGACCGTCTCCGGCCGGGGGGTCTGCCTGAGCGGGCTGATGCTCCTCTTCAATGGACGGGCAGTCGACCAGACTGCTGTCCTGTTCGGGGGTGGCAAGCGGCGCTGCCTCCGGGGGCGCCAGTCTGCTATCACAGTCATCGGGGACGGCCTGCGGTTGCGGGTTGGGCTGACTAGAGGAGACCTGGGTCAAAAACAAAGAGGAAATTTAAAACAACTCGATCAAGGATTTTCTTAAATTTTTAATTTCTTTAAACAATTTAATGGGAATGTCAGGGAATGTTTAATAAAATGTTGGGATGTTATTATATTTTAATTTATTATTTTTATGAGAGGTATTAATCACTTTTAATTTTAAATTAAGGTAATCACAAAATTGTATTTAAACAAAGCTCAAAATTTGCAATAATTTTGTTATTTTATAATAATTTAGAAGAAAAATAAATGACACAATAAATTTAATTATTCTAACTGAAAGAGCCGTTTAACAATTTTTTACAACAAGGACAAGCCCGCCTTCTTCATTTTCTTAAATAATTCTAGTTTAATTGAATTAAATTTAAAAAAGCTCACCTCATCAACATCGATGATCTCAAAGGCAAACGCGTCCTCAGGGTTGACTAGTTTCTGCGGCCGAGGCGGCACTTCGGGCACCGTGGGTGAGCTTTTCGGGGGCTTCTGGTGCCGAGGAACTATGGGTGGGGCTGCCTCTTCGCTGAACTGCAGCGCCTTGCTGCGCTCCAGCGGACGATGGGCCAGCGTTGCGGGGCGTTTTTGAGCAGGCATGGACGGTTTGGACGCCCTTGGTGGCAAAGGTGGTGGCAGGGGCTCTCCTTTCGGGTAAAGCGTCTCGTAGATGGACTCGGAGGGGGCCTTGGGCGGCTGCTGCCAGATTGGGTAATAATCGCCTTTGGCCGGCGCCTCTTCCTCGGCTTCTGACCCACCACGACCGCAGTTGTGAGAATTCCATGTCACCTGATTTAGACATTTTTTTTTTAATTCCAGAGCAATGTTATATTACGATCTGAATTTGTAAAAAATAAATAAAATAACAAGCAAGAAAGATTTTTAATACATCCAATGAAAAATATTTGGGCACCATTTCAAGTAAAATTGTAAAATAAAATATTAAAAAAAAATGCAAATAAATTATGAAAATACCTGATCTTTAGCAGAGTCGGAGCCAGAATCCTCGGCAGTTGCAGCACCGATGCCGTTGCTCAGTCTCTTGGGCGTGAGATTGCGATGCAGCAACTTCTTTTTCATGTGGAAATTCGCTTCGGGCTCGGACTCGCTTTCCGAGCTGAAGCCCTTGATGCGCAGGATGTCCTCGAGCTCCTTGCGCCCTGAGAAGGGATTCTTGCCGTTGGCGCAGTTGCGTCGCGAGACCTTCTTTTTGAGACTGCCGGCGAGTCCCTCGTCCTGGTCCAAGGCGGAGAAGGCCAGCGGCAAGAAGTGGATGTGGTCGCAGTCCTCCTGGAAGAGGCTGCACGGTGCCTGCGCCGGCTCCAGGGACACGGTGAAGAACACCAGGCCCTGCGAGCTGTCGGGAGAATTCAAAGGCAGTTTGAACTGAGCAGGGCAACTGTGGAGCAAAAGTTTTCCATTACAAAGTGAACATGTTTAATTTTGCAATCAAACTTACTTTTGAGCTCTCTCCTGAATAGTTCGCACCGGCACACTAACCCGACCTAAGTATCTATTGACCAAAGGTCTGGACTTGGAGAATTTATCTTTGATTTCTATGTCCAACATGTCCTGAGGAAGAGCGGTGAAGAGAAAAGCCTGCAAGGAAATTGACCCGTCAATTTTCTTCTGCCGCGTTCAACAAAGTAATTTTTGTTTAATCCATTTCGCAATCGTGACAAGGAATATAATAATTTCCCCATGGGCGTGTCACGCTCCCATTTTTCCCGATCCCTCGAGCACTAATCGTACAAAAAGAAAAATGAAAAGTGACGCACTTGAGATTCCCACGAGGGGTGCGTGGTGGCCTCTCGGACCGAAGTTCTGCTTTCCTGGCCGTGGTGCGGCAACAACATGCTCACGCCCGAGTCTTCCTCCTCGCAGCTGCCCGGCCTGATCCGCAGCTTGACGTAGGGGTCGGGGTTGAAGAACACGCTGTGTCGAAGACTTCGAGCAGCTATGCCTGTGGAACAAATCAAAACGCATTGAAATAATCAATTGAATAACAGAAGGGTGGATTAATTTAAAAAAATAAATAAATGTGCAATTTTAGTGATAAATAACGTTTTTCAAAAGAAATTTTAATGTGGATTCAGAAACTGAGCGAGAAAAACAAATTAAAATGTCCAAATTTAATCTTTTAATTGGAAATTTTAATTCTTTACAAAGCAGATTCGGATTTCTGTTTCTAAAATATTTATTTTTCTACTTTAAACTTTAAAATGAAGACAAGAACGTGACGGATTTTTCAATGGAAAAATTAATTGTTCGGAAACAGAAATCCGGATCTGTTTTAAAATAATTATATTTCAAATTAAAATCTGAAATTTTGACATTTTTATTCATTTTCCGAGCAGTTTCTGAATCCATGCAATAAAATTTCTTCAGAAAAATTAAAACAGAAACCAACACAAACACGACACAAATCTTCACTAAAAATTACAAAAAAAATGTCTTGATTGCAGTAATTGTCTTAATTTCCAAACTAAATAATCTTTCAATAAATCGTAAATTTTACCCAGAGAAAGAAAAGGAAATTGAAAGAAAGACAGATTAATTAGGAAAAAAAATTTTAACAAAGACTCACAAGAGATTCTGAAGTGGACCTGAGAAGACTGGTCGATAAAAGAAACGTCAGTGGAAGGGTCTGCAGCCTGGAGAAGGGCGCAACCCTCTTCGTCAGAGCTTTCAGAGGGTAGGAATTGGTGGTCGGCGGCCAGAGCAGTGCACGCCTCGCGACCCAGCAGCGTCAGCGGCTCAGACGCCGCTAGACATGCGGTCTTTATTGCACTGTAGTAGCGGAAGCACAGCTTTGCGCCCTCTGCATTTTTCAAAATTTGAATAAATTCATTTATTGAATAATAAAAAAGATTGGTCTGGAGAAACGTTTTGTCTAAGAAAAAAGAAATTCCACTGACCTTGTTGGTGTGAAAGTGGAGGTTGAGCTAGGTCAAGTAGCCACATGACCTGACCCTGAGGGTTTCCCACCACCCCGTCACTGCGCCTTTCGAGGAATTTGGTGGGATCGCTCTCCTCTGCAACAAATAGGAAAACAAACATTTATTAAAAAATAATTATGTTCAATTACATTTTATTAACATTAAAAAAAATGTGCATGGGCAAACAAACGACCACAATATAGAAGATTCAAATAGTTTAAATATTTTTGTAAAATATTGTTTTTATTAAAAAAAAAAAAAAGACTACCAGTTTCGGTATGCGGTGCTATTTCATGATGAGCAAGAAAAAAAATCAGAAAATTGAAAACCACATATTTATTCAAAATCTTAAAACTCGGTTGCTTCTTTAATTATTCAGCTTTATTAAGATTTAGAATTTTTTATTAAAAATTTGGTTTTTTAATTTGCTGATTCTTGCTCATGAAATGCTCGCAGACCGTGCGGACCAAAACTGGTACAGAGTCTTTATTTGTTTTTGAATAAATTTTTTTTTTTAAACGAGGAAAAAGCCCGAGTTCTTCATTTCCAAATTTTAAAATTCTCTACATATAGAGTTTAAATTTTGGTAAATTAAAAATTAATGTCCTGTATTTTTTTATGACTCGCTTTGGTTCTTATTATGGCTTATTCAGATACCTTGAACTAGGATAAAATTGCAGATGACGATACAGAATTTTGCGGTTTCTGCAGAATTTCTCGCCATTTTATGCCACTTTTTAAGATGATCAACGGCAAAATTTTTTGAAAACAGTTACGCGCGGCGCACGACAAGAAGCAGTCAGTGAACTCTCTCCATGATTTGTACGGAGGAACGCGGATCTCGGCGGTAGATCCGATGGTAATTTGTACTTCTGCGTGCGCTCTTATTCGGCAGAGAGTGGCGCAATTAAATTAATATTAAGTGGCCCATTCCCATGAGGACGTCGACGGAGGAATTTCCTGCCATTCAAAACTCGGGGCGGTTTTCTCACGTACGGCGGCGCATCCTTGTGCAGTGCAACGAGAAGCAGCCGAGTCATATAACACATTTTGCGCCGCGACCCACGCAAGCATTCAATTGTTCATTCAAGAGTCGAGAGTCATTCTCAGGCCCTCGTCAGGGACCTCCTTCGAATTGAGCTTGACGTAATTGCGTCTTTTAAACGCGGTGCTGACGACGCAGCGCAAGGCGAGGCGAAGGGGGAATTTTAATCAGGGCACTTCCTCTATTTTCTACGACTCTCTTCACCTCCGCTTGGCTGCAGGTGAAGGAAGGTGACGTCAATTAGCTAGGAAGAAAGTCTCCAACAGGATAAGGAACATTAAAAAAATCATTTTGAAAAAAAAGTAACAATGACACAAAATTAACTGATAACTCAAAATCAAGAGAAAATATGAAAATTACGCGTGAAGGAATTTTTCTTATGACAAGTAATTTTCTAAAAACAATATAAATTCTATCGAAATAAAAAAAGAGCAAATTCTTAGCAATAATTAAATATTTTGTAATTATACATAACAATTTATTTATTAAACTAACTATTTAAAATAAAAAAATTATCTGAATATTTTAAATAAAAATCATCAATTTCATTTTAAATGAAGCATTTTGCATTTTAATTGTTTTCTACTTGGTTAATATTAAAATTAAACTAAATATTTAAAATTAAAATATGATCTGAATATTTTCAATAAAGCATTTTAATTATTCTACAACTTTATTAATATTAAAATTGTTAATTTGTGTTGAGTTAGGGAATATAACAACTTTCATTACAATTTTTTCATTTTTAACAAGTCTATAAGCAGGAAACCTTTAGTAAATTATCTGTTTTGTTTCAATTTTTATTAACTATGCCTTTTTTCTATCTCTAATTAATTGTTGCAATAAATTTAAATTGATGATATATTATTAAAACTACTGAAAACTACAACTTTGTTTTACAGTTTTTGAAACTTTGTTATGCTCTTGTTTATAAATTACTTTCTCTTTTGGTGATTTGAATTTAAAATCGGCTTTTCCTTGATGGGTTTTTGTGAGTTGTTTATTGTTTCAGAAAAACAATATCCTGCTCTACATGTTTCGGCTGCGGGCCATAATTCATGAGCTGCGAAAACAGACAAAAATTAGAACAAAAATGAACCTTTTTTCAAAAATTATTTTTCTTTCAAGTTGACAATTTTCTTGTTCTTTTGAATATCTAAATGATGTATTCTGGCATCAATGTTGATACGTAAAATAAACTCAATTTCAAACTAAAAAATAGATTCAAATTTGATGAATGAATGGAAGCAGGACGGAGCCAGCAAGACGATTAAAAATTACTCCAACCCCGACCAACACTGAAGATTAGGTTGTAATTTTGGACGCGCATCCGATTCCACGGCATCTGCGCGGCGATAAAAGAGGCACTCGGCTGGGTTGCTCCGAATCCTTATTCTTTTAATACATTTATCAGCAGGCATTCTCGTCTCTTGGTGACAAAATTGGCATGCGGCGTCGAGAATATAAATCTGTCCGTGTTCCGCTGACAAATGGATTCTCTTCCAGAAAGCTATTTTTATTAGAGCCCGCGCGCCGCGGCTGATTCATTCATTAGTTCATTTTTTTCCTCGGCTCATTCATTCGGACCAGGGAGGGAGGGAGGGGGAGGGAGGAGGGGTCTATCTATTTAAACGCCGAATTCGCGGCACATGCACTTCCTCCGGATGGAAGCAGCACCCCCGCGCGCTCGCCTAAAAGGTGTTTCCGGCTCGCGCGTCGTTTCTGATCCTGCTCTGCACACGATGGATGTGACGAGTGCACACGGATAAATATTTACCCCCGACCACGCTACGCGCCACCGAGATAAAGGACAGTTTTTTCCTCTTATCGAGGAAGCAGCTGGGGTCACCGCGCGCATTATTCGTCCCTCGCGCGATTGCCGAATCAACACCTGACGCAACTCTTTTCAGATAATGAGAAAAAAAAATGCTCGCTAAGGAGGAAAACCTCAAAAATTTCTTCCTGTTTCCTCTCTGCGAAGAGTTCTCGTCGCGGAGGGGTGGCTTTTGTGTGTAATTTCTCATTATATGCGCAGCCGGCTGAGTGAAATTTCCTTCCGCCAGCGCTTTTCCCCGCGAGCAAATCAAGCAAGTTCCTCTGCTTTTCATCGATGCAGCAATCGGCGAAGTTGCCCTTTAATCAATAACCTCATCAGCGCGATTTGTTTCAAAATAGCAGTGCCTGCGTGATTATTTTTTCCGTTCTGCCACGACAACATATACATTCAATTATAGGGAATTTTTAATTTTACGCTCAATTGCATCTCGGAATGGTATATAATTTTTGACTGGTGATTATTATTAAGTTGTTGTTGGCCGCGCTATAGCCAGGAAGTTATCGCTGGAGAGAAGCTAACGAACTTGGTCGGCACATGAATTAATCATTTCTTTTCAAAACAACTATACACAGTTGTGAGTTGTTGTTATTTTGGAAAGAGAAGTTGATTGGTTTGCTCTTCTGATTTGAATATTAGGAGTGAAATTATAAAAATTTAATAACAACGATTTGAAGGTTGGCTCTAAAATGTTATTGTAAAAGGGTTTTTTTTAATTTAATTTTAGTTATAAATTTATTCAACGTTTATATAATAATTCTTTTAAATAAAATTTAAAAAGTTTTAAAACTTATAAAAATATATGGGAAACATTTATGAATAAATTAATTATTAAATTGATATCTTTTAAGAGTTTTTTCCGTGGTTTTACTGAAACTGCGCGAGAAAAACTTGGCTTTAAAGAATGATGGAATGCATAGCAAAAATTTGACTTTTAAGTAAGAAATTAATTTAAATTGACACACATATTTTACCTTTTTCAGAAATTTAATTAAAACCTGGAAAATTAGGGCAAGTAGAGCAAAATAACTGGCCTGGATCGCAATTTCCCCTAATAAGGTACAATTTTCGTGTTGCTTACAATTAATTTCTTGATTTAAAGTTAAAATTTAGGTATGTATTTAAAGCCAATATTTTTGCGCAAAATTTCAGTAAAACCACGTAAAAACCTCTTCAATATTAAACCCTGAAACTCCTTCTCACTTTACAACCCAAACAAAGACACTTATTAGAACAGGAACACACGCAGAATTATATTTCTTAATTTCCATAAATTACCTTTTTTTAAACTACCTGTTTAATTATTTTATATGACCTCTATTGTTTCTTTTTACAAAAATTCAAACCGATAATTTCACTTCCTCCAGACGCTCCTCAATTATTTGTACACACATTTTCTAATTTATTTTGCACGCGCGGTGTGTAATTTTGTGTTTTCAAATTCAAAGTTGGGCTGCTGCGCCGCGTCATGACCGCGACGAGGTCTCGCGCATATTTATTTCGGGCGCGTTCTTGTTATTAGTAAAAAAGCGTCATACATGTGCCCTCGATTAAAGAGTGGTGTGTGTACCGCGTATGACGACAGGAAGGAAGTTGGCCCGAGCTAGGGTTTTGAGGTTGCGACGCGCGCCAGCACCCCTTTGCCGATCCATCAGCGCATTGTGTGTTGAGGGTGATTTGTCTGCATCGTTAGAGTTTTTTTTCTTCTTTTCTCCGCACTTTTCTCCAGCGCAGGCGGCGAGAAATAAATGAGGAGCTGTCGTGTATGCGGTAATTGCGCGGCGGCCGCTCTTGTGATGAATGAGCCTTGTTTGCGCGCCGCCGCCACGCATTATATTAGTTTTGACTTAATGCTCGCGCGCCGCCAGTTCATATATAATGTACATTCACTTGAGAGCAGAGACAAAAACTTGCACGTTTTCTGTCTTCAACTTTATCCGCGCACGCTGTTAAGGAAGATATCGTTTTACTCTCATCAAGTTTTTCAGACACAAAACGAGTCTTGAAAGGCACCTTCAGCGTCTTATGAGAGACGAAAATATATTTCAAAGAAATGAGAAAATTTTGCATCAATTCATTCATTTCTTTCACTTCTGCGCTTTCTAAAAACTAAAAATATTTATAAATCATCGTTTGATTAAAATTACCAAATATATTTGTTTAATTGTTTCAAGTTTTTTTTAGTTTTTTTCTTTATGAAAACGAGCTATTGATTCA